AAACAGACAAACAGACATACAGGCAAACAGACAAACATACAAACAGACAATTTTTTTTATAACTATTGTTTTGGGGTCTATGTTGTGTACATAATACGTTACTAATAAACAAAAACATCTATCCCACGGGAAAAGTACATTTTTCCGGGATAAAAAGTAACCTATTTGTTATTTTGAAATATGAACTATATTATTGTAAAGTTTCATCAAAATCCAATCAGTGGTTTTTGTGTACTAAGCTGTATAAGTTACTATAGTTTTTTGACTATCCCACGGAAACTCTTTAATTTTCCGGGATGAAAAGTAGCTGATTTGTTTTTGTCATGTATGAACTATATTATTGTAAAGTTTCATTAAAATCAAATCAGTAGTTTTTGTGTACTAAGATGTATAAGTTGTTATAGTTTTTTAACTATCACACGTGAACCCATTAATTTTCCAGGATGAAAAGTATCTAAGATGTTGCCCGGGGATATAAGGTACCACCATGCAAAATTTCATTTAAATAGGTCCAATAGATCCGGAGATTAGCCCGTACAAAGAGAAAAACAGATAAACAGCTCGCTCGGGTTCGTCCATACATACGAATATGTTGTATTATCTTTTTAACCATTTGTCCAAATTATATGCAGTAAAAGGGAAAAGTCTTTTATTTTAAACATTTTAGACGATAAATTTACTTATTTTGATAAGAATTCATAATTGTTGATAATATGACCAATAAACATGACCTACCGATTTAAATGTTTTTTTTAATAAAAAAAACTACTTTTTGTGACTTAAATATAAAAGTTAGACGTATGCTGTCGCTGACTTTTTTGTAGGCATTATTAAGCTCTACAACTTTTGTCTAGAACATAATCATATATCTCTCATCGTTAAGGCAGCGTCCGTAAGAAACGTTTTCGTTCGACCGTTTTTTCTCCGACTTACTTTGCAAATGCGACTACCACGAAAAAGCCTTTTCATTTTTCGGGTTAATATATAGCCTATGACACTCAGAAAGAACGTGGCTTTCTATTGGTAAAAGAATTTTGAAAATCGGTTCAGTAGATCCAGAGATTACCCCCTACAACGTCACAAACTCACAAACTCACAAGATCACAAACTACCTCTTTATAATATTAGTATAGATAAACATAGAAGGTTCTAAAAAAAATGAATATATTTTTAAACATGTTATCTATAGATCGGAACTGTTGAGATTTAAAATAATAAACAAAATTAATAATTGTTTTTTTGAGGACTGTTAATGAGAATCTATAAAACTTAAATCCACTTTCGACCTACTATAATATACAGTAGGCGACCTAGTAGGCTAGTAGTACCTGGGCGACCGTGTTTCGCTCGGAGTTTTTGGCCAAAAATACAATTTTCTTTTTAATTTGGCTTAAAAACAAAAAAAAATAATAAATAGAAAAAAAAACAAAAGTAAAAACTTTGTAACCGACCAGGATTCGGACACGGATACCTGTGATTATCAATCGTGCGCCTTGGCCACTTGACCACAATGCTTATGTCCGAGCGTGCGAAATTAGCGACCATATTTTGCGTGGAATAATGCCAAAAAAGAAAACCGTATGAAAATTCGAAAACACGCGTTTTCCCAGACATAAGACTGATCTAGATCGATTTTTCGCCCCCGCACATATTAAATTTCAACGAAATCGTTAGAGCCGTTTCCTAGATCGCCGGTATATATAAATAAATCGCTCGTTTAGTATTAGATGAGACTTTGATTACATGGTTAGTTATTAGTGAACCGTTTTAAATAACCCTCCCTTGGGTTTCGCCGCAGTCGGGTAAAAAAAAAACAACAAATACTCCTTATGATTAAAGGTATATTAGGGACGAATTAAATGGGCATAATAAAATTGTCCATAAATGAAGTATAAACGTGATGTGAGAATTTTATTCCGGGAGAGAACGTGTCCTCATGGGAAGTAGTATTGAAGTGAATTGAAAATTCTGTTAATATGAGAAGTTTGATGTACTCGTATTATACCAAAGATTTATATGAAATCCCTTAAGATTAATATTTATAATTACTTTTATCTTGGAAAGAAGTCATTACCATTAGATTTGCTAGTTTATTATTTGTATGGCACTTTCTACAGATAGGTAACCTACGTAGGTAATAATCATTAAGATATTTCTTTGAGTGAACGACCGGTCGATTAGCGACACGCGTCAGGTGGCCAGTGCCATTCCTTAGACGGTCATACCGTGACATTCTATTGTTGATACGAGATATCTAATGATGAGGTATGAGGGTTAGGGTCTTAAATGTCAACCATAATGGTCTTTAAGCCCTCAGTAATAACAAATTATTGTGACTTGTTTATGTATATTTGTAACTTTTTATTTAAACCTATGAAGATTTATGTTAATGTTTACGAAAAAGCGGAGTTATTTTTAACTGAAATTGTGAATACTATGAGCAGTGGCGTAGTTCGAGAGTGGTCGTCTCAGGTGTCACTTGATTGGGAATGGCATCCGTCATGCAAATTAGCATAAACCATTAATATCAACGCGGTATGCAAATTGACCTGAGTTTGTGACTGTGACCGACAACCGATTACATATAAGACGATTCAAAGTTTTTCTCATATAGTTTAGCTTTTATTAGTGGTGATTATCGATACCATCGCGGGTATAATCCTAGTTATGTCACTAACAGAATAAAGGTCTATCTGTTTTATACTGCAATTATATAGGTAGTATGTATTGTGTAATTTAAATAAGAATTTTTTCGCAAGTGCCTTACTTACCAAGCACATGTTTTAGATTTCGCATTTGATATAACTAACCCAGTTGTATTTCGGCTTATAGCTTGTGATATAATTTCGGTACGAGAAATATACTTATCCTAAAAAATTTAGCGTGAGAAAGGCTTATTGCCATTTCTCACACTTAAAAGTTCAAACCGCAGCTTGGCGTGACTTAGTTTAGTATTACTAAATTACAAAATAAGGCTATAGTCGTAAGAGAATTAAAAAAATGTACGTGCATGTACCGTGTGTATATTTGAATATTTCAATTATTTTTAGAGAACAAATGATAATGATAATTATCTATGTACTAAGTAGTATATCGTAAGTATAGTGTTTCAAGAGAATAGGAGGACTCAATTATTAATATTGTTTGCAATACTGAGTACTTAGGTACTTATGGCATTTTCTTAGATTTTTGTGTAATGAAACAAAATAGTGTTAACGAGTAATCAAACATAGCAGTTAGGTACCTTCTTATATAATAGTATTGGTACTAGTATAGTATTATGTGATCTGTCGTATTAGTAATAAACAGTACCTATTGTTAATCAAAAATGATTTATATACTATGAAATAAATATATAGTTACTTATATATTTTTATGAAGACTAAGTATTTATATATATACCTATATGTATGATGGGAAATATTATTTATATAGGTATAAAACGGATTCATGTAAACGTATTCAAGGAGACCAGGATGACACGACTTTGAAGTAGCTTTTTGAAGGTGGTTAAAAATAGTAATCGATCATCAAGCTTTTTTACATATCATCGTTAGGTTTACAAAGTCATCAGATGTTACAATGGAAAGTGTCGCTAATTGCAGCATTTAATTTCTGATGCACAATGGTTGGCGGTATGCGTGCTTTTAGCTTATTCAAGTCTCATAAACGGTTACTGTCTAGCGGTAAATCTATATTTCTATACATTTCGGTATATTCGCTGGTTGTCACTGCGGTGTGCGGCACCGTGAGAAGCTTTAGGCACATATTAACAGATTTGATGCAAAATATACTTCATATTTTCACAGTTACGACACATTTGTTAGACATTAAGCAAATTTTAAAAGCAATAACATTTTACTAAAATTGTTAAGTACCTTAAACAAAAGCAATCTTTAGTAGTAGCTAATAATAAATGATTATAAATTGCAAGTTTATCATATGGTAACGCTCTTTTATATCATGTAGTAGTCGGGCAAGTTCTTTCCATCAGCGGTTGCAATTACTATTAAGGTATGGTTCTCCAGCAATTATTGTTAAGGGCAGTCTTGTAAGTTGTAACTAATCCATATTCTATACATACCTATAATAAAATAGTAACTAAGGCCGAATCTGTACATTAAATATTTTTTGGAAAATCTTATTGAAATAGACATTATTATCGATACAGATGCCGAATCTATAGTTCTTAGAATTTTTGTCCGTCGGTCTGTCTGTCTCTTACCGCATCACGGAAAAACCACTGAAGGGATTTTGATGAAATTTGGTATGATGATAGCTCCGGGTCAACATATAGGGTACTTTTTACAGCGAGAAAGTATCTCATCTCTGAGAAATCGATACTAAACGTTAAAACGTACATATAAAATATATTTACAGAAACAAAATAAAACATCGTCCATATCATGTACAGTTGTTATTATTAGTATTTTAAATTCTCTTCGACTTTTTTTAACGTAATCTAGTATAGTCCTAGTATAGTATATCTGCTATAATAAAGCTCATACAATATATCGCTCTAATCTGAATATATTGGTTTTTTTTTCAAAAAGTTTGTATGCTCTTTTTAGCACCTCATTTGTCAGTGGCATTAAACATAAAAAAAATGCCAACACTGTGACGTGCTCTGCATGATGTTTATTAATTTTTCGCGTAATCATCAATTTTATCTTATAATCGAATGAAATAACAAAATTACTATTCGAATGAAGTGTACAACGCACTCACAAGATTTTTTATTTAAATTATAAATATAAGTCATTCTCAAGTAAGTTATATGAATACATACGGCGAAAATATTTTTTTAGTTCTCGTCAAAACTTGCTACCTTGTATGTATCGTTGTGATTTCTTCCTTACATTTGGATTTTTCTCTACATTTTAGTTTTTCCTTAAACGCTTCACGATTTCCACTAGTTCGTATGGAGTCATCTAGATTATTATGTTGAAAATAATAGTTTCTTACTGTATTATTTATAGCAGGTATTTCAGTGATTGTCTATGGAGTCAGAAATCTCTCGAACAATACGCAGACACAAGCAAGAGGACGAGAATTGGCGGCGACGGTGCGGATGTATTCATACTAGTGACAAATTGAGACGGATCATTGACACATTTCCGCCGCCACCACCTCCGACACCTGAATATAAAGAAATACGATCCAACCCTGTAATTACTTTAGTATCAATAATACGTATTTTTATTATAAGGTTTATTTCTTATAGACTAGCAGAGCCCGCGGCTTCGGTCGCGCTAAAACTACAAAAAAACTATAAAAAGGTAGGTTTCATGAAAACTTTCATCCCCTATTTTAAGCAAATTGTAAATTTTGTTTCAGAAAAAAATCTGAAACATGATTAATATTTTTCATTCAACAAAAGCATTAAGCTCTAAAGAACTACAAGGTGTCGTTTGTTTTATTTTTATTTTAGAAAGGAAATACTTGTATATCTCATTTTTGCACCGTCCACCAACCATCTCCGCCTAACAAGACTGTAAAAATATGTTGTGAACAATTGGAAGAATTAAAAGAAGAAGAACCTAAAAAAGTAAGTTGTAAATTATAAAATATATTTATCTGTTTACTACAAACTGATCTTTCTTATTAATATGTATTACATTATAAGCGCTAAAATAGGTTGTTCGTTTCTTTGTCTCGTAACTGTCTTTTTGACAGATTTTAAAAAGAAGGTATCCGCTGTATTTTTTTCATACTTTTTGTGTGTATGTTGCGGGATATCTTAGCGAATTTTATTTTTAAAGAACAGTTGATACCTCAACTCAGGGTGAACCCATATAAATTAAAAAAAAACCTAAATTATTACTTTTAAGTCACTACTTCTAAGTTTTATGTGAAATTGAAGTCTGTGTACTTTCTTTTTGCGATATATAATATATCCTTCAGGAACTACCTACTTCATTTAACAGTGTAGGGTAACCAATGCCACTTTCTGTTCCATAAACATGTTATTTGTCCTAAAATTTGCACTGTTGATCGTTTCCTTGCTTGGTTTATCGTTTTTTCACGCAACAATAATTGCGTGAAAAAACGATAAACCAAATAGGTAATACATTTTTCGCACTTTTAAATTTACTTATTAGTGAAGATTTAATCATCCAATGCCAGACATTTACTAGTATTATATAAAGTTAATATTGTGGTAGGAGATTATATATTATTATATGTGGTATGTAATCAGCAGTAAGGAATGTGCTCGTAAAATAGATAGAATCGTTATTCTGTATAACATCGTGACGCGGGCCACGCGTTCTGTAGGCTGTTCTAAGAAAATTATTTAAAAAAAGTATCTACTAAAACATCTAATGACGCTGATTATTTAGATATATGCATAACTTTTTGGCATTATATAATGTTGATAGAACCTTTGTGGCGTTGTCAACATCCCGCCATTTTTATCCTTTTCTAAGGTCACCTTATATTTTTGAGGTACTTTAAGGTTTGCATTTTTAAAACGAAGACGTCATTAAAAGTTAATTAATTATGTTTTAATATACGTTCTGCCATAGATATTTGCCTCAAAATATATCAGAAACGTGACATCTTAAGTTGATTGCTGATATTTTTTTCTTAGTGTCCTCTATTCATAAAGTGGTATGGGTACTTTCGTCGTGTGTCTACTTTGAAAAAAAAAATAACAGCGGCGGATTACTAATGTGCTGGCATTATAATTTCAAAGAAACATGTTCGAAAACTTTCACAATAGTTCTTAGTGCTTTTTGTTAAAAACTATTGAAGCTAAAATTTCGTTAGTAAACATCAAGAAAATAGTGCATTTGCGATAAAATTTTCATTTATATTTTGCTAGAGCTATTATCAATTAGTGGTATCGGTTTATGAAGATAAAATTTAAAAATTCCAAGTAGAACCTCTAAAGTCCTGTATAAATTAATTATTTTCATTTTGTATACTAAAAACATTATATTGAAACCAAAATAGTCAAGAATATTCAAAGTCTATTCAGTTACCTTGTCCGATGAACCTAAAGAAGGCTGGCCAAGCGTTATATTGTTTGTTTTATATGTACGTAGTATATACGTAAATTGTAATTTACGTAGATACTATCTCTCTAGGTTAAGAGCGGCTAACCAAGAGTTCCGCGCTTACTGAGGATATACCAAATACTAACAAGTTAATCTTAATGGAAATCGAATATTCTATTTTATAAAATTTGTGTACATTGCTACTTGTTATACGTTTCCTTCCGTTTCGTACGTATTGTTTGCAGTTACTCAAATTAAGGGGTTACGTTACAACTCAATTACTAACTCTATTGTTGAAGTTGATTTAAAATTTTCATACGATTTATTTGATCAAACGGTATTTTTATAAAACATAGAATTTGGAACATTCGATACAAAGTGTACATTGTGTTATTTTTATACGTTCAGAATATTCTTCCACATTATCTTTAAAAATTAACGTCTATTAGTTTTCAATATATTCATAACCTTTAAAATGCTATCTACATTTTTTTAAAGACTTGATATTTGCGACAGCGGCTTTTCCTAAATTTTGACAATTATTATTCTCTTTGAAGGTTTATTTTTCAAAAGCTTCTTTGCATTTAAGGTTCTGTTTACAATTTACCTAGATATTTTTTGTCTGTACTAATATTATACATAGATAAGATTCGTTTGTTCTGATCGATAATCTCTGAAATTAGTGAATCGATTTTAGTTATTCTTTCACCATTAAGTAAGGTGTAAGGAAGCTACATTATTCAAAGGTAATATTAGCTGTATCTTATTTCACTAATAATAAGTTTTCAATCTCAATGGCACGCTAGTTCTATACGGGTTAAATATATTTTAGGTAAACAAATCATGGAGAGTTTTAACAGAGGTGGTGCAGCTCATACAGATGTCGGTGACAGCGACTGCTCTAGCACTCTACTACATTATCTACTGCTACATGCAGCTTATCTATTACAGTTTGAGAAGTGCTCTGTATTTTCACAATGCTGATGGGTTGGTTATAATAATTGGTACACAAATATATTATAATTTTAATGATAATTTTTACTTGGTACCCTCCATTGTGGAGGTCACGAATTCGATTCGATGGGTGACTAATGAAAATTAATTCATAACTGTTTGTGTTACAAGTCTGGTTAAAAAAAACACGCATCTCGGTACTAAAAAAAATTACGTTCTCACTGTTTATCACATAGAAAATGAACGTAAAGACATACATTCTTTAGTACACATTATATAAATTCTATATCCATTAAAATATATTTTAGTTAAAGCTTTAAAAGAAGTCTTTTCATTTACTATCCACTCCGCAATATGTATCTATTAATTTGTACAAAAGAGTACATGTAACAGAGATCTCTTAATCTATCGTTGTAGAAAATAATCATAAAGATTATTTTGTTATGTACTAATACTTTCTTAGATTTACGCCAATATTTGACATTTTAAATAAAACTTTTTTTCGGATTATTTTTATTTGTTATGTAATGTAGAGAGTTTAGTAATAACTATTGGATTTGTCCTATATTTTTGGATTGATTACATATTCATATTCAATCAAATGTTATATTTTTGCAGACCTATGAAGATAACAATAGCTGTAGTGACAGTAACATCACTGATAGTCGCAATCAATGTTATGTTAAAAATTGAAAAATTTATAAGAATATATTGAAAAAATGTAGAAGAAATTAAGCACATTTAATTTCATGTCTTCTATTGGACCCATAACATTTTTTTGTAATCATGTTGAAAACGAATTAATAAAACATTAGTCTCTCGAATTATCTTTTAGTTTCGATGGATATTATTTATGTAAAGCCTTTCAAGATATACGAAAAGTCTGACTCGAGTGTAACACAGACTTTACAACTGAGGCTCTTTGCCACTGAGGTTAGAGCCTCTTAGTGCATTTCATAGATGAAGAGTTACGGCCACTTCACTGACAACCGTCGACTTCGACGCATGTATTGATCCCGCGGAGTTTTACGCGTTTGTGTTTCGTATTCATTCGTAGTACACTTTTGTTTGAGTGGAGTGTGTAATTAAATGAAAGACGACAAGTGTCGACCCCCAAGTGCATCGTTTGTGCAATATGGCCCTCAATGTCAGGTAAGTGGAGTGGATATAATTGTTTACATCTGTTGGGATACAGTGCGTATATATATTTTTTTATTTTTATAAAAATTAGCTGTACATAATAGAGCTTTTATTATATAGATTCGGGCATGCAAGTAGGTTATAGATTATGATTTTGAGACTTGCAATATACGAACTGCATTTATGATCAATTTCTGACGGAATTTATAAAAAAAAAATATATTTTAATATTGCAAAAGAAGATGACTTTGGATCAAATTTAAACTAATTCTAAATTATAGATTCATGATAGGTATACAAAAATAAATTAATTTATACTAAGAAAATATTTGGTAATTTATTCATCATAATTATGATTTTGTTATAAAAATATCAGTTAGCATTTTGTTACTTATACATACAGCTAATTACGATTTAATAAATAAAAACATTAAGGGTGGTAGGTTCGCTATGTATTTATCTTTATGTGGATATTTAAAAATAAGTAACTGAGGAGTGAGGACTTTATTTATTTTTTAAAGCTTTCAAAATCTTAGTATTAGAGCATAACGGCTAATCTCTGGAACTCCAGTCAGATTTGAATAATTTTGTTTGAATATTATAATCTATTTATTGAAGTATGTACGTAAATGATATATAAACTGCACGAGTGGAACCATGGGCAAAAGTTAGTTTAGTAATCATTACAAAAGTGACCAGAGTGCAGCTGTCGGGTGGATTAACAGGCATAAACTTACCGCGCAAAATTATATTTGTACTAGTTATATGACCCCGCTACGCTTCAGTGGAATAAACAGCGTCATGATTTGCTTATAAAAATTCCGGATGTAAAATTTGAGTACGAAATAATTATTTCGGTGTTTCTTCATCTTTAAAATTTAAATAAGTTATCAACACATAAATAAGTAATATATTTTATAACTTTAGTTGCATTGTTACAGTAGCCTGGTTTACTTTTAGACAATGATTAAGAAAATGAAAACAAAATGTGCGATAATTTTTTTTTCTTTTACGTGGTATATAACATGAATGTATTGTCTCTAAACTGAGTTGTGACAAATATTTTATTTGCATATTTGAGTCTAGGGGATCGAAGTTATAGAATTAGCGAGTTTTAAATAAGGTTAAATATATAGCTTAATTGTATAATAAATTGTTTTATGTTTTGACGATTGATGACACGTTTGGCTCAGTTTGTAGTAACCTTACTTGCCGTGCCAGAGGTCGCGGATTCGAGTCCCGTTAGGTGCATACATTTGTGTTATGAGCACGAATGTTTGTACCCCAGTTATGGGTGTTTATATTTGTAACCGTTCAGATGACCAAAAACCAAAATCTTAGGTTTTACATATTAGTATACTCTCACATTGTAGTTTTTGTATTTTTACTCAGAAATTAGGTATTTTCCCGCGGCAAAAAGTATCCTATATGTTGATCCGGATAACCAGCTATCACCATACCAAATTTCATGAAAATCCCTCCAGTGGTTTTTCCGTGACGTGGTAACGAACAGACAGACAGACAGTCAAAAATTCTAAAAACTATACGAGTAGAGATAATAATGTCTATTTTAATAAGATTTTCCAAAAAATATTTAATGTATAGATTCTACTCAGTTACAATTTTATTATATGTATAGACACGTATCTATTTAAAGTTGTATTGTATATATGTATAGTGTAGGATCTCTCTGGTATCCATAATACAAGCCTCGTAGCTTACCATAGAACTAGATGGTGCTGTGGGTTAATACCGTAACATACAACATATTTTAAGATGAATGTCTCTTCAGAGTAATTTTCGATCACTGCAACTATTCTTAATGAGATTACCTTAGATATTATAGTGCACAAGTCAATGTGTAAACAACCCTTTCTCACATTCCCATGGTCTAATGAAATCGCGATCCGTCACGATAGATGAGGGATTGAGTGTAATGTTCTGGACATTAAAACAGGAATTAGGAAGGAAGATTAATAGATATTCCTAGGCAAAAACCCACAGGCACATATAATTAAACACGAAATATTCAATGTATTGCATTCTTTTATATCTTTATTATCCTTAATTACAGTTAACAATAGTGAGAACATAATTTTAAAAGTGTATAAGTAAACAATCAGTTTTTAAGTAATAATTATCAAAGATATTCTCTGTTTCATTAAAAGAACTCGTATATCTTCTAAAAAATCAGTGGGTATACTTAAAGCATGCGAAAAAACGTGTGTCTATAGCAATTAATAGGTTCATTATTGTAACTGAAAGTCAAGATTTAGGAACGGTACATAACGTACTAATATAATTGCACTTGCGTGAAGACAAGGTGTAAATCGTTGGTATGACCCGGCGCGTGCGTTAACGGTGCGTTCCGCCGTTGATCATAGTCACCTTTGTACCAATCAAGCAAAACATCGTATCGTATCTTATACTTTTGACAATCGATTCTTCAATTATCAAAACTTAATGTTATGGTTTTACTTTCCTCCACGTTGTCTAAAATGAATTGGTAAATAGGCGGGCTTGATGCAGCTTATAATCATAATAAAATTTTGCTGAATTTTATATAAAGTTAAATATATTATATTTTTAAAGACACTATGATTTTGAAAGATATAATCTCGTCATAAAATTTATATTTTAAATTGTTTAAAATTTATCTTTTGTTAGTCAGTTTTCGTAATCAGCAACCTCTTTCAAATTAACGCTATCTTATAATATTAAAAACTATTAATTGCATAAGCATATAATTATAACAATTAATGACCTTGTCTGGCTTCTAATGCGAGAGGAAGCGGTAATGAGGTCGAGATGTTTTAGGAAGCGCAGCGAGGTCGTACCCCTTCCGAACTGATTTCTACTAATAAATATTATACATATATGTTCTTATATATAATATTAAAATTAACTAAATTGTAACAAGCCTTCCCTACGTTTTTGAACGTTATAACATCTACTGATACTATAGAATTCATTCGGAATATAAGGTTAAGCCCGTCATCAGCGTATATTACTCTATGAATAACTTTTATCATCAAAAGAAACAAAAAAAAGTACTTATCAAAGTAATAATATATATAAGTATTCAATTTATTAAGATTTAGTTTCCTATAATTGATTTTATTACTTTTGTCTAATAAAAAAAGTTTTTTTATGTTTGATACTTTTGTAGGTACATTATTTAAATAACCGTTTTATATTTTTCGGGCCAAATTTTTTTATTCAATCTCTAAATGTTATGAACGGTGTGGCGGGATCACGTAATCGCCGCTAGAACAAAAGACATAAACGAGCGCGTAACGCTCTCGGCTTCTCGACTGTTTTATAAAATGTCACCGTTATGTGTATTATTTTTTGAAGCTTGCATATGGACCATAATGTCAAAATTATAATTGTGTTATATTTTTTACATATACACAATTACAACAATTTTAAAATAAAACTTAATAAATTGTTTAATTTATGTATATGAAATGAGCTTAATTCTATTTACATGATGGATTTTGAGAACTTAATTCCTTCTTCATGGATGGACATAATCTTCTGCTCAAAAGTTTCTAGTCGATGGATGTGGGTGGAGTTAAAATAAATTGACTCAGCTCGAAGAGCAACAGTTCGTTTCGCTTCGGCTCTTCTTAGCAGAATTGTATTTCGTGCAGGTGGTAGATTCCTCACGATTGACTACACTCTAAATTGATGATTCAAAAGTTTATAAAGGTCTAATTGATAAAGTTAATCTTTATTACTGGGATTGGCAACTTTTATTAAACCAATTATATAAATATATTTTAATTTGTAATCTATTCATAATGATAATAATTATCAAAAGTATATGCATTATGTAGTACACTTTTTATGTGATAAACAGTCAATGGGTAGAAATGTTTTATCGCAGTACTACAAGTTCAATTTCCTAGAAGCTGTTTAAATATGCCCATGGTGGATTTTTTGTTCAAATGCTTTATTACATACAATTATCATATCATCTTAAGAAACGCTTATTCGAGCTATAACTCGAAATAAAGCAAACAGAAAAATTATATCATCTGATAATTTTGAAATATGATACTGGTGTTAAACTTACTTAACCAATAATTATTTATTTCATATTTTTTGGCTCTACATGAAGAAAAGGTTAGCCACTCAAAATTATCAAAAAAAAAAAAAAAAACACCAGAGCGTGACCTGCATATTTGAAAGAACTTTACTAGTTTTCGAAACATGTAAAGTCTGCCAATCTGTATGTACCACTTGGCCTTAATTGTAGTTTTATTTTCCTCGTGTTCAAGAGAGGCCCGTGCCCAGAAGTAAGATGATAAAGAAGGCTGAATTATTTGTCTTTTTATATAATTCTCTATAAATTTAGGTGGTTTACCGTTCGAAAATGAAAATAACATGAATAGATCGTAAGTAACGCCATAAGCAAATGGCTCTGGAAATTGAAAATTACACCATGTCGCTCTACCTTGGTTCGATAACGGGCAAAACGCGATCACGACAGCGATTACAACTAAAACTTTTCGACAATATCGCGTAATATTCATCTTAGATTCCTCACGGATTTACATACTGACATTTAATTAAAATTTTAAAAATGTGAAAATCAACAATTTATTAACTATTTGAACAAACGATATTTTTTATTTTATATTTTGATTGAAACCTGGTTACTTTACGTTTATGGGCATAGTGCGATGTTTATACATTTTAGCTATAAAATCAAATATATGCGAATATTATTCAATGATTACATGCAGCAATTATATAAAGGGTACCTCAATTATTGCAAACAATTAAATCGAGTCCAATTTGTATTTATAACTTTATTATTGTTTCGATGCATAAATTAAAGGATATCACGTCTACGCTTGAATAACGACGCAGTTCACTGACTGGTCTGGGAATAACTAAGTTGTGAGACTAAATACTGAGACTAACCTAATGAGAGATAACTAATCATGCGAAAAATAGAATAACACCACATGTTCGTGATTAATTAAAAAGTATGTTTGTCCTTAAGCATTGTCTTATATATTATTAAAGTATTTATTTGTTATAGAGTTAATAGTCGTTATGCATATAAGAAAAGAAAGAGAATGCTTAAAATAAAATGTTCCTACTACTACCTACTCTTGACAGAATAAAAATATAAATTTAATTGTCATGAAGTATGGATATTTAAATGAAGTGAATGTTTAAATATTGTAACATCCATACTTACTAATATTATAAATGTGAAAGTATGTTTATTTTTCCTTTTTTTCACGTCGAAACGGAGAGACGGATTGACGTAACTTTTTGTGTGAAAATAGTTGGCGGGCTGGAGAGTGACATAAGTTACTTTTTACCGCGGGAGATTATCTAATTCCCACGGGAAAACGTGTTATATTACAATCCAAAAAATATTTATGATCAGAATTACTTGAAAGTTGGTTTTAATGCTCTTCAATTAAATCAAAAAAAAAAATACTTGTTATAGCATTTTTTGAAATTCATTCTATAAGGGAGTAAAATAGGGGATGAAAGTTTGTATAAAATTACTTCTTTAGATATTTTTTGTGGTTTTAACGCGAGCGAAGCCGCGGGTTCTGCTAGTAATCTATATATAAATTGATTTTAAAATTAATAATAATAATATTATGAATAAATAGATAAATATGTTGGGACATCACTCGTAGCTTACCATGGAACTAGATGGTGCTGTATGGTGTTCCATGGTAAGCTACGAGGCTTGTGTTATGGATACCAGATAGTTGATACACTACACATACCTATATAATTTTAGGTACATACATATTATAAATATAAACATACAAATATTCTCATCATACAAATGAATGCCCCCAGTGGGGCCCGAACCTGCGACTGCTGGCACAGCAAGTAGGGTACTACAAACTGCGCCAAATGTGTCGTCAATGAATGTGAATTGCTTTGCTTGCTTATTATCGGCATATCGATGAAGTAAAGTTAAACTTGCATTCTGGAGAATACTTTCTGAACAAATTCCCTTTTAGATTTAATAAAAGAAAAATAAAAAGTTCAATTAAATGAAACGAACAAATCACGAATAGTACGAAATTGGATAAAAATGTATTGAAATATTAAATCTAGCTACTTGAGTGGTTATACCATTTTGTTATTAGACGGGGGCATATTCTTTATGTACATATTTTTGATTAGGATAGTACTACAATGAAAATTGAATTGCAAATACGACGGCTACTGCTCTGATAAATCAATTTCATAGATCACAGTCCACTGTAATGACGCTGATATTGGTTCCCCAGCTACTTTCACAGCCCTGTCATTATCCCGCCGTGTATTTGACCCGCCATTACTGCAAAACAATATTTCTATCGAGGCACGAGGTTAGCGTTTAGTTTTGTTGGCTGTGTTGATCTAAATAATCGCTTTTTCTATCACGATTTATATTTGGATTCAATTTAGCATCAAACTGTACTTCGTGGATGCCTATACTGCAGTGCGTAACAGTCATTTGTTATGAAACGTTGTTTAATTTTGAAATGCCTAAGGTTATATATATATATATATATATATATATATATATATATATATATATATAATGTATAATACTTACACGTGTGTAGTAAAAGAAAAGAACTTACACAATTCTAGATTCGTAACTATACATACAGACTACCTAATCTAGAGTACTTTACAAGTACCCTACTTGTAAAGGTTTAATTTGTCGCTTTTTATAATATTTGTTTTATTAACTAATGGATTAACATTAAAATATTATCTATTTTCCTTTTTCAGATTATTCATTGTATACGGACTATGCATATTACATGTAAGTTATCAAATTTAAATTAAAAAAGTTATTTCATTCTAGGTTGTGTAGTTTTGGACGTGACTATCTGGTACTATTTAGATCTAAAGAGGTGGCAGGTTCGATTCCTACAACGAGACGCATATTTATACTGACGTTTGTCCCAGTTTTTATAAAAACGTTAATTAAATCTAACATTCTTTGTTTTAATATCCGTAATATAATTATATAAGTGCGACAATTACTCTGTCTACTTGTCTGGTTTTTCATCACGACAAGACTAGCCGATTATGATGAAATTTGGTTAGCGATATTTTTAAAAAGGAAATCAATCTGACCACAACATGTAACAATAGATGAAATATATTATTGGTAAAATGACTAACTTAACAGTTTACTACACATATACATCATTTCATGAATAAACTCAATTTGAATAATCACGAGTACTTCTATACACATACTTATTAGTATTTCAATAATTGCTATCTTTATCAGGTAAATACAATATCGCCGCCTTCACGGTTGGATACATCAGCTGAGTCGGCGGAACTTTCAACGGAGTCAATCAGCTCGGCTGGCTCGTTTGAGCTCAATGAAGGTTCAGGAGAAGATCCATTGGAAAATACTGTAGGAGGAAAGGTAAAAAGACATTAAAATAAGAAATCTTTATTTATGGTATATTTAGATTAGATATATAAGTAACGTTAATTGAATGTAATTAATATTCTTAATAGTTTGTTTAATACAATGTGGGCTTTCTTTTTTTTTATTCTTGCTCTTTATGAGTTTTGATTTATATTTTGATAAGTTAATATATAACGCAGTACTATTACTATTCAATTGAACTATTAAAATAATTTTATTTAAAACATTCTAAAGTAAATAAAAGTATGTATATTTTTTGTTTTACAGAATCAAACTAGAGATGCGCTTAAATCTGATGGCAGTGAACAGGACCCAGTAAGTTATAATTTTAGTTTTTATTATTCAAACTAGACCATCATTGTTACTTCGTTTAATCTTTTCATACCTTAGCATTATAAATAAACTTTCATAATGAGCTTTACTGTCAATCTATACATTTGTTAAAGGTGTAGGTGTTCAAGCATACGATAACAAATCTGTGGCGTTTATTGCTTAACTGTTTTTTGCTAAGATTCCTTTAATGCTATATATATTATACATTGCGTATCTTTAAAAGAAATCACGTAAGCTTTCAGATTGTGAATGATATATAATGATTAACTAGATTATTTAATTGTACGTAAAAAGATTAATTGTCGATCTTTGTCCCAGCAATAGCACTTTTATTCAGCGTGACTCAACTTGCGTATTCTCTATACAACCTTCAATGAATGTAAGAGATGTCTAACATTCGTTAAAACAATGAACCATCTCGCCGCATACAGACGTAGCGCTCTTCTATTAACGTCTTAGCAAATACCACTTTGTAGCTCAATGTCAATGGCTATCCGTTAACATTATAACAGAGAAAATATCCACTTGGATATCTCAGTATTGACACACTTGTGTCAATACTGAGATAATTTGAAAGTTTTTTAAATTTTACTTTGCAAGGTTAGACAAAGGCAAGAAAATAGAATTAAGATTTTTGTATTTAATTATGAAATTGTACCCAATTTTGTTTACCTAAACTACTGTGGTATAATTAATTATGAATAAGTCACCAAAGCCGGCGATGACTATTAAATACAGCGCGTGCATGAAAATCACTCGTCTATGCCAAAAAAACAAAAGAAAAAAGTAAATAGTTTTTGTGCCAAGTAAAAGGTCAATTTTAGTGCTGACATCATTTGCTAAGATTGTTTACATCAAATTAAAAATATAATACATGTATTTAAAATAATAATTACCTCGTTATTTAATTTAAAAAAAATACTTTATAAGCTGAAACATAAAAATAACTAACCAGTGCGCACACATTTGAACTGGTACCTAAGTGATAAAAGTAATTAGTTTGACTGGTTGGTAGTTGACTGGGTCAAGAGAACAGTAACAATTTGCTGGAATTTTAGATCAGAAAGAAAAATAGTATAAAAGGTCCAAAATATATGATGATGGTGCACTCTCACTTTTTAACAAAAATGTCTTCAAATTTGTGGTTTGCTCTACAATACAAGTGTAGCGGTTTTATCGCGCGAAATTACTAAATCATTGTTCTGTTCTGCTAAGCTTTACCGCTAATAGAATTAAATAAAACGTGAATGGTGCATTACTGGTGAATTGTACATTAGGCAAGTTAATTTTGACTTAACTTACTTTTGTTAAACTTATTTAAATTTAAACATAAGTGTTTTAGGTGGGAGAGAAGTAAAGCTTGAGATTTTTAATTTTTAGCATTTAACACATGTACTCGTAGACCTTGATCTCAGTAAATTAAGAGTTTCAACAGTATCTCAAAAATAGGTAAGACCTCCTTATTATCTTCATATTATCAGTAAATTTACATGTTATACTTACCGGCGTTCCAGCATATCTTCATGATTACTCAACAATGAAGTGTATCAGATGTGTGTATCTGATTACAATAGAATAAAAATCTACAAAGGTTATAGTATATTTCATGCGTGAGAGACGCTGGTCCACCTTCATTGCTCAATCTGCTGCTATAGAACAAGAGGCCACCGGTAGCTTTGTGCAATACATTGCGAAGGGCCCATCTGTGTTTAACATGTGTGTTCTACACGTTAATTGCCTTACATGATTTAACTATCTTTTTTAATGAGTGTTTGCGATACTGACAGTAGTTAAAGATTTAATCTTTAATAATTATATATTCATATTATTCTTTAATTTATTAAATAAGCACTGATCAATATCGCTTAATATGTACTGGAAGTGGTTTAAATTGAGTCTAATTTACTCATATACCTGCATATGTCGACACGTCCTGGTTTTCTTTATTATATTATGTACAAACCAAACGTCTTACCTAGTTAAGACTAGATTACAGTGTTTAAAAATAATTAGTAGGCTGCTAAAGTTAGGGATTAGATTTTGCACATGTGATAAGATTGGTATTCCAGGATCGTGAGAAGTCTGTCATATTAAGTTGAAGATATAGGCTTGCAAGTGTAGTGCAGATAGCCATCTGACCCGGCTGCGATGAATTGTCAGTTACTCGGCTCACATTGCACGCCACCATAATCGTGGTCGCATTTGTCTGCCCTACATTATTTCCCTTCCCATGAAATTGTAATTAAAATAATAGATTTGTTATGTGAAGTTAGAATATCATTTTAAATAGATAGGTAGGTGTTAAATGAAAAACACAATAAATGGATAGAGCCTAAGCTTAAGAAAATGAACGATTTCTTTAACTGAAATCTCATAAATAAAGCCCATTTTATATTTGCAATCAACCTTTCTGAAAACCATCTTTACACAAACTACAAACGATCAAAAATACAATTTTTTATTTTATTCTCAGCTATACCTATACTCATTCTCAAAATTTTGAGAATAATCTCGTGTAACCAAATAGAATATTTTAAAACAATGCTATCGCAATTATTTCGAACAAATGGAATAATTCAATCACACCTGCAATAGTAAGTTCAATTTATATAATTGTTATCTAAGGTGTATTTAAATGGAAATCAATTGATTGGTTTAGTGTGGCAGTCCACTGGTCTAATTTTTGTAATGCGTGCAGTGGCTCCGGCGTGCGAACCGCCCTGACATACTTTGTGGTACAATCTTCAATAATCACTTTTTGTGCAAAACTTTCATGGGGTCGTGACTGTGAAATGGTGCATTACCGACGGCAATTCAAATAGTTTGTTTGATTTTTTTTCATTTAATAGATACTCGTAGATAATGGATGCAATCTGATGTTAATAGTAAAATTTATTTCACTTATCGTATTTGTCTAACGGTTTTACTTTTGAAAGTCTGTATGGGGTCAATGTTATGGCACTTATTTAAATAGCTTGAAAATAATTCTCATAGGAAGTTGTATGCAGCTATGGTTATCGGAGGCAGACGTAGTCGCGTTTAGCGGAAGGATGTAGTTAGGCGCCTGAAGCTTTATCTCAGGGCTATCATACTCATAATAATGTTGCGCCGCAACATAGAACGCGTCAAAACATTCAAATATTTTTAGCATATAATATATTATATTCTATTGCATAATAAGTTTTTTTTATATAAAAAGATTTATTACGATGGGATATAAAGAAATTTAGATTTTTTTTTGTATAATGATACATTACTCGATACATTGGCTAAACATACAAGAAAAATATTCGACATTTTGTATTTTTTGTTCCAAGGTGGTATTTTTATCCGAAAAGAACAGCTATATCCCAGTGAGCATCAAACCGCGGTCCCCAGCGGTAGACTCTAGTTGGCGGGAGCCTCCCGCGTGGGAGCGCGAGTACAGGCGGCATCGCACAAATGGCAGCAGAGTGCAGTGTAAGTTAAATTAATTATAAGAATTACTTATAGTTGCGAATATTTTTATGTATGTATGTGTGTGTATGTTTGTTTCTTGTTATATAGATAGACTATGTCGTGGAGTAACATAAGCAACTGTCAGACATCTAGCTTTAGAAATCTCTTAATTTTTATTTTCGCCTCTAGAAAAACAAAAACAAATCTATCCCTCGCGAACCGTATATTTTTTCGGGATAAAAAGTAGCCTATATGTTATTCCAGACTATAATCTATGTCTGTGCCAAATTTCATCTAGATCCGTTAAGCCGTTCTAGCGTGAAAGAATAACAAACATACATCCATACATACATTCTTACAAACTTTCGCGTTTATAATATTAGTAGGATAGCAGGATTGAAGTAATCTTTTGAATTAAAATATTTAATTAAAATATACGTATGTGACAAATTTGAAAGCAGCGGATATCCTATACATGCAAACATATTGCGCTTGTTTCTTGAAACGGCACAAATTGTGATTTTATCATAATGTCATCTAGTCGCTTTTTTTACGCAATATTTTGTTAAATTAGTAGATATTTACCTCGCAAATGCAACAGAGTGTTTAAAGTGTTATTAAAATATTACGAATCTTTTAAAACAATTTCATAATTTTGTAGATAATTTTATAATTGAAGTGTAGGAACCTTTTTCTGTTATTGATAATATATTTTTTTCTAACTTAGATATTGAAGCGGAATGTCAAGATGATTTTATGAAGATCAGAGTAGGATTCAACGGATCCTTCAATGGCTTGGTGTATTCCGCCGGTGAGTGATTAAATAAAACAAAGATTATATAAGTTTTTAGCCGACTTCAAATAGGAGGAACTTTTTATTTTTTTGTGTTTGTGTTACGATTGTGATACGATCGATTTTAATAATTCTTTTTTTTAATAGATAAGTTAATCTCAAGGGCGATCTCAAATAAATTTCAATAAAAAGTCCCCCCAATGGGCGAAATAATTACTTTTAAGTGATTTTGTAGTTAATGTGCCTTCATAAGTACTCGTAGACATATTTGGGCCTTAACGGTTTTGGGTGTGCTTACCTATTGAGTAGATATAAATTTAATCATAAAACTAACAAAAATTGAACTCAAAAATTAAATAAAACGTATAACATAATAAAAGTCATGCTAAACTTTGAATGTTCAGAACATTGACACACGCATGGACTGACCAAGTTCTGAAAGTTCCATATTCTTAGCATTTAAATAGAATACTATTTACTATAGGTGACAGTCGCTGTGTTCTTCACGCTCTGTCTGTCTTTTTTCTTTTAGATTTTTTTATGCGAATATAATTATTCAAGTACAATTGTTCGGAATTCCGAGGGTGCTAAACTAAGAAAGTCTTTTGCAAATCGTAGTAAAATTACGTTTTAAGAAATTGTTGACCGAGTTAAATATAACAAGCCTCGTTTATATTAGTTTTTATTAAGAAGTAAAAACTAATATAAAGCTTATTCTATTTTTGTATTAAGTGTTAACTTTGTCATAGATAGTCGGCGAAAGCATGTATAATTTTATAATACCAGCAAAGTAACTGTAAGTGTCGTTTGTTTGCAATGTTACTGTTGCGAATATTTTTATTTAATATTCAAAATAAATAAGGCGTGATTTTGTATGTAATGTAACACTTTTATTATTTTAAAAGAACTCAGTGCACTCTAGTTTGTATTTTAAATAATTTATTGTTATTTCGGGCCTCATTATTTGTGTTAGTTGGGCATTATGTCTTTGCATCGTGTTCAAGTTTAATGTAAGTTTTTAGCTAAATGTCGCGTGAGGTCGAATGTTAAAAGGTTAATGTTGTAAAAGTTAATTAAAATAATTTTATAGCACATTTAACATATTTAACCCCTAATTTAAAATAATATTTAATATTTCTTTTAATTCTGTACTAAAATTACTAGTATAGCCAAAAAAAAAATTGCATCTGACCGTAGGTATTCTAGGCATTGATTTATTAACACCGTTACATTAATATGTTTTTACATAGCAACATTATCAGACGTTGATACGCGTAAAGAAAACAATTAAATAAATTCTTTATGGTATTGTTCATTGCTTTAGAGAATTCGGCAACCTTGTTACCCACAAATGTTAAATTATCCCGACTAAGACGTGAAACATTTTCACTTTCCATTCGATAAGTGTCAGGTTAATGTATTTTGTATTTTAATTTGACGCGTTTTAAAGTTCTATTGAATTATGTACGACGATGATAGGTATTGTAGTATAATTGACCGACTTAAAAAGAGATAGTACTCAATTCGCTTGTGCTTTTCCTCTTGCCTTTCTCAAATGTGGCCCAATATGGATTTCAAGAAAATATGCCGTCCTATAATTATTTTTATGTGATATTGAAGTCATTTTTTTCAGTTAAAAAGTAATTCTAATTACATATTATGAGTAATTCTAAGTAATTAGACTTACTTAGAAAGGCTTATTGCTGTTTGACGTAGTTAGCGTAATATTATTGGTAAATTAAATATTTTGTTTCTCATCCTCTGTTTGGTTGTTTGTTAAAAACTGACTAAAGAGGTTAGGTTAGTTACAAAAATTAAAATAAAACAAGTTTGCCTTCTAAAACACTAATTTCTTTATTCTACGATTTTTCTTAATTAATTGTATAATTCACAGGTTACTCTTACGACCCCGACTGCATGTATATAAATGGATCTGGTCGCGATTACTACGAGTTTTACATACAACTGAACCGATGCGGTACTCTAGGCAGGAACGGTCAGCACGATGACATCAAGAAGCATCCCACCGTAAGAAGTTTTTCAAACACATTCTTTATAGTTTTAAGATTGAGATAAAACTATTTATACGAGTTTTTCGCGGTTTTATTATTATTTTCGTTTTTGGTTCCCATGTTTCAAATGCTTTACAACAATCATGGTGACGGGAGCGACACAATTTAACCTTTAAGTGTTTTCTATGATATTAGTTTATTTAATTTAATAATTGTATATTATTATATAATTACTAGTGGCTCACCCTCGCTTCGCTTGGGTTCGTCTCTAGATATGTTTTAAATAGTTATTAGCCAGCGCTAGCCATATAAATTTTAAGTTTTTTTTCGTTCATTTTATTTTTTTTTCTTTTTATTAAAATCTTCCGTGGACTTTAAGGAACATACGAAAAATTTTGGCCGATTTTTAGCCGAATTGTTCCAGCGATTCTTGAGTTATGCGCTTACCAACATTCATTTTATTTATATAGATTGTGTATGGTTTAAGCATCTGTAGAAATCGAATAATATGAAAGCTTCAATATATTTTTTCAAGAAATTCAATAGGGGTATTTTTAATTCTACTATTTATTCTAGTGAACGTATTTTACCGATCTTTCTTACAGAAGAACCTAATGTGGAACACGATAACAGTACAATACAATCCATTGATAGAGGAAGAACTGGACGAGCATTTTAAAGTGACCTGCGAATATGGATATGACTTTTGGAAGACAGTGACATTTCCATTTCTAGATGTCGAGTAAGTTAAATTACATCATAAACATCATACCTTACTCATTGTCTTATTAAAGCAATTAGTTTATCTTTTTCTTGTGCTGATGGCATTGAAAACCAAAAATATGCTTATTTGCCTTAAACAATAAATAATCCGTTGTTGTAAAATAACATTGGTCTAGTAGAATACGTGAAGTAAAGTCGTCCTTAACTCATCTGCTTACCGGATTAAATTCTTAAAAGTAAAAATTTAAAAGTAAATAAACAAATATATCGCAGATGGGATACCTAATGAAATTAAATCAAGCGACCAGTTACACCATTATGTATTAACAAAAAAAAAGTTGTAATTTTTTTTTAAGATTTAAATTTCAAATAAATGCTTACCATATAAATCTCTCAGTAATTGAAAGTTTAAAGTAATATAAATATTAAGGAAGATGCAGAATTTACCGGTTGCGATTTTACTCATATATTTATTTACTTATTTATATTTTACTATATATAGATGCTATATATATTGAGGTAGTGGTAGCCCAGTGGTAACGCGCTCCCTTGGGAAACCGAGTGAAGCAGGTTCAAATCCCGGGTCTCGCACCTCTGATATTTTCATGTGCGAATCATTTCTACCACTTGCCTTACGGTGAAGGAAAACATCGTGAGGAAACCTGCATGTCTGAGAGAACCTAACAAGTTTTCGAAAGACATGTGAAGTCCGCCAACCCGCACTTGGCCAGCGAGGTGGACTATGGCCTGATCCCCCTCGTATTGAAGGGAGGCCCGTGCCCAGCAGTGGGACGTTAAAATGGGCTGAATATATATATATATATATATATATATATATATATATATATATATATATATATAAGGGGATGCAAGTGCATCCCCATGCACCTCCCTCCCGGTGCCCATGTCTATAATTGTCCTAATATTCGTGGATGGTATTATCCAAATACAGTAAGTCGTCATTATGATTTTATAAAACCTTCCTCACTGGAGAAAGTGTGTGAACATGAGTATAAAATGACACGCCTATTTTAGCTGTCTGAAAAACTAAACAAAAAGATCAGAGTTCATTGAAAAATAAAAAAGGTAATAAACATCGGAACTAATCTCGATGAAAGTGCGAAATCATTTTCAGTCTTACTAACGGCTGACCCATTTAAAGATGTATCTATTTCATTGTACCTTGAACATAATATTTTGGATTAAGTAGTATGAAATTGAAAGTTTTAACTCTTTTAATATTTATAATAGAGGTGTCCGAAGTGCAAGCAGCAAAGTTAGTCTTTAATGGGCGTTGCAACATTTTCGTTTATTTTCTAAAGAAGTAAATTTCTGTCTGTGAAAAAATTGAGGATTTTTTTATTAGTACAAAATTTTCAGCCGTTCATAACGAATTAAAATCTTCTTAACAATCTAGAACTTTTGCATAATAAGAGTACGATAATATTGTTACATATTACCTATTACTTTTAAGGGTCGATAAGAAGTAGCATATGTGTAAAACCAGGATACATAAGCCATTTAAAAGTTACTTGTTTTAATTTCATAAAATTTCCGTTATTTATTGGTTTGATAGAAGTCGCCTTATAGCTTATTTGTTTAAACCACCTACTAATTGTACTTTACAGTAGAGAGTTTTTTCCTATATTTTATAAACAAAGATTTATTTCTAAGATTTATATACATATACTAGCGGACCCGACAGACGTTGTCCTGTCTACACGTCTTTAATTTGAAAATTTCAAACTTTTTTTAATAATTTTTTTGATGAAAATTATTATTCAAATTGTGAATCTAAACCATTCCCAGATCCCCTTGAACACACATCAAAATCGGTCCAGTCGTTTGAGAGAAGTTCAGTGACATACACACTCACAGAAGAATTATATATATAAAGATAGTAGATATAATACATCTATTCAGCTTTTTTAAAGTAAAAAATGTACATATTTAATATCAATAGAATTCTATATTAAAGACTCTTTCGGTAAATTGGTCGTTTGGACAAATATGCAAATGCACTTAGACGTCGATTACATGAAAGAATTATTTCGGGTGGTTCTTAAATGAAGTACTTGTTTCAGAGTGGCAACAGGCAACCCGGTAGTATTCACGCTCCAACCGCCTGAGTGCTACATGGAGATCAGGTCGGGCTACGGCGCGACGGGCGCGCGCGTCACCGGCCCCGTGCGCGTGGGCGACCCACTCACGCTGCTTATTTATATGAGAAGTACTTATGGTAAGATTCATTGTCTATTTTGTCATTAATATTAATTATTTTACTTGCTTTTTTAAACACTTTACGAAAGTTACAGGCTGACTTTGTTGTCTATAGTTGAGTTTTTTTGCTTGTGTGTTACGTGATATTTTCGACAATAGTTTGTCGTCGTTCCTTAAGTTACTTTGTGGTTTTATATAAATAAAAAAATGCCTCTAAAAGTGTAATTACGTTCCTAAGTTATTATAAATTCAGTGAGTGAAAAGATATTAATAATTTGTAAGATTCAAATACGATAAGTCATTTTTTTAACTAACCATCGGATATACTGGATTGGCATCGGCATTTTACCACGGTAATATATGCATTACATTACCGTGATTTTACTGTACCTGTAAGAATTTTTTAGGTGTTTTTGCTTTTTCGCCTTTTTTTTTTTTAACGTAGGGAAATGCATTTACGCACGATGTGTGGGACTCACCGGCAAAGCCAGTACTACCCACTAAAACCCAACAAAGCCTTCCACCGTCTTAATGAGGATCGCAGGATCGCTTACGCATTCAACTACGACGCCCCGACGGCAGGTCTGCCGAAGCAGACCACAACAACCACGGGGTTGCTCCAAGGTCCACTCTGCTATCAGAGAAGTACCAGGAGCAACCTGCATGATTCACCGCCCTCCGAAGAGGGCGCCTCCCACTGCCCACCGAAGTGGGCCACCTCCCTGTGCGTTTCTTGGCTTCGCGCCCGGTTGGGTTGCCGGGCACTACTGAGCCCCCCCACCACGACAAGGTGAACGCACGTTGGGGGGGTTTGCTTTTTCGCCTATATTATATTATTTTGTTAAGTGTTTCGATACTAATACCTATTATTTTTAGGCCTGCGAAGCTTGTCTACCGGACTAGGGAAATGCTTCGTTTTTATTAATACTTTAATAGACAGTTCCATGCGAAGCGAATGTTGAACTATATTTTACTTTGAAACCATAGCTTAATTTCAAACAGTGTAAGCCATAAAATCTATAGCTAACTGTAGAATTAATATTACTTAAGATGTTATGGCAATAAAAGAATGTTATATGATCGATTACGTCTGATTGTCAATGAGCAACCGTAACGAACAAGGGCAGAAATTAACGGTGGCCGTTCGCGTGTCGTCTTGCCATTCTAAATGACGTCTCGATCGATAGTTCATCGATCTTTTATTTAGAATGAGTTTCCATAGAAAATAGCTGTAAGCGGGTCATTGACTCAAACAATGTGTGTCAGTAATTTTAAATAGAATGAAGGATGCATCTAAAATTTCAGATGGTTTCGACATAGTTGTGAACGATTGCTTCGCACATAACGGAGCCGCGAAGCGAATTCAACTGATCGACGAATATGGGTATGTGACGGTGTTAACATTTTAGTACTTTGAAAGCTTTTAGAGTAATAGGAGAAAGTTTCCAATTTACTACTAAGTTTATGCTGAAATAGTATACTTTCTCATTTTTAAGTTATTGAATGATATATAATGATAGTCAATTTTATATTAAATTTACTTTTACTTATACCTATTAAAATAAATGTACCTAATTGAATGCTTTTCATGATAAAAAAATCACTAGGTACTTACAGGCTACCTATGCTGTAGTCTGAAACCTCTTTACTTCCTATGTAGATAAAATATTTTACTTAATAGAAAGACACGATTTGTAGGAATCAAAGTTCAATAAGATTATTTTGATTTCAACAATAAGCTCTAATAAATCTTCTTTATCCTTAAGTAGTAAAATTAGTCACGCAGTTTGGAAAAACGAATTATACAAATTTGATTTTTTTTTATTTAAGCAAAATTAGTTTTAAATAGATATACTAAATAACTTCTACTTTCCAGTTGTCCAGTAGACGACAAGCTAATCTCCCGGTTCCGCGGCTCGTGGTCGGAGGCGGGCGTGTTCGAGACGCAAGTGTACGCGTATATGAAGACGTTTAGATTCACCGGATCACCTGCACTGTATATTGAATGCGATGTCAGAATGTGTCATGGAAGATGTCCGGTAAATATCAAAATAATTAATTTTAACATTCTGAACGATTACGTACACTAAAACTAGCAATGTTGTAAATTTTATAGTACGCAAGTGTATTATGGAATTATAATTTATGAACTTAAATTGGACGTAGCTATGCAAAGTAGATCCAACCACAAAAAGTTACTATTGAAAAAATAGGAGTTTTTATAAAATTGGTATTTCAAAATAACAAGACCGTAGTTTTTTTGAAATTCTTCTTAAATATTGGATATTTTATTTACTTTCTGTATATTAGTTGATATTTAGGTGCTATTTATAACGTAGTAGTAACTCAAAAAACGGTTTTCGTGGGCTGGAGCCATTTTGCATAACTACGTCCAATTATGGGATACAAGTGGAAACTCAATACGAGAGATCAAAACACAATTAGCGGCCTTACTGACTTTAATTTATTAAACTTCCATTATACTGGTAAGACTGCAATAGTCAAAGGATGTAGATTTATTTACTGAATAAACGCAAAACTAATATTAAAACGGTACTCAAACTATATCCTAGCATGACACTATGCTAAAAGTAAGACACATCGCAGACTGCAGACTTATTTTTCTTAATCCATATCCATCACGCAAAATTGTTATAAAGTCTGCAGTGTGAGAGAGCTGTAATGTCGTTTCTCCGACCGTTCCGTTACGATGGCTCAGCATTTCTATGGTCTGTTGCGTAAATCAAAGTGCACCGGAAATAGCAGGTGTAAACAAAACTATAGGACTGGGTAGTTTGATAGATCGATTTTAACTTAATGGGAAATGGGGACGATCAGCTATAAATATCATCGAGAAACATCTGCCTAGCTTTTGAGAATACTTTTTGGTTTCTACTAAAGTTAAATATTATCAATATAGGTAAATAAATATGAAATGATAAGTGTAAGGTATATATTGTCATGCATCATTATACGAACGGCCTAATATTTCCCGTGTCGTATTTTAATTGCTTCCCAATAAGGAAGTCTTTAATTTTAAGTTTTTTTATTCCAATCATTTTTACTGTCGCCTGCTGTAATTTTCGATGTGGTTACTTGCATAATTTACCATATTGATTGAAGTTTGCGGAAACTGCATGGAATTACCTCTGTGTATTATTACGGAATGATTTTAGAAACAAACATAGTTTGTGTTCCAGAATAGAGTATACTAGATTTTTATATTATTATTAATATTAAATGTTCAATATAATATAAATAATAATTAAAAATAAATAAAATTAAAAGACTATACTCTTTGAAGGAGGATATAAAAGACGCAAAATCTATTTATTTAAGAAAAGATTAATGAACCATATATTTTCTCAAGATTCAACTGTATGTTACATAACTTTTTATTGTATTTAATTTTTCAATTATTAAGTGAACTCTATTCTTTTTTGGGAAATAAATGTCTCTTTAAACCTATTAACAATTAGGAAGTCGAAGTAGTGAAAAGTAAGAGTACCTATTTTTATACAATGTTAACAATTTCTGACCGGATGCTACCTTTTAAATTTTTGTTAGCGATGCTTCTCTGGTTTAGTAGCTAGTATGTGCGGCAAGTAGGTAGAGTTACTGCGTTTTGGTCTCAAGAAATACCCAGTAGCATCTTGCATTAGGAAGCTGGTGGTGTTACACTCCCGTGCCTCAGAGAGCACTTAAGACCGACGGTCTTATCCCTATTCTATTATTTGTCGTATCGAAGTGTCGTCTCACCGGAATTTAAGTGTCAGGAATAGTCATTGTTCGCATTAGTATTTCCGTATGTTTAACTGCCTCGGTGGTGTAGTGGCTAGTATGTACGGCTGCACACCCGGAGGTCCTGGGTTCGTGTCCCGGGTCGGGCCAAGTTTGGTTATTGAGTATTTCTGTATATAAAGCCTCAGTAACAGCTCGGAGTTGGGAAGTTGGCGGTGTTTCACCCCCGTGCCTCGGAGAGCACGTAAAGCCGTCGGTCCTGCGCCTTAACTCTCACCGGTCGTGTCGAGCAGTCGTCCCACCGGAGTATGAGAGTGATTGGAATAGAGAGTGCACCTGTGTCTGCACGTACACTTGTGCACTATAATATCTCCTGCGCAGTTGGCTAATCTCAATGAGATTGGCCGCCGTAGCCGGAATCGGCTAGGAGAACATCATCATCATCATCATTTTCGTACACACGCACTTATAAATTATAATATCCCCTACGCAATATGGCTAGTTTCAGTGAAACTGTCCGCAGTGGCCAATATTGGTCAGGAGGTCGTTATGTTTTTATTATATTATTCATTCAGACAGTCAGAGTATACATATATTTTTTTTTTCAGTCGCAACCCTGTCACTGGCGTAATATGAAGAATGTGAAGCGTCGGTCCGTAGAAGAAGCGAGTGTAGCGCCGCGCCTTTCGGAGAACATCTCGCTGTTCCAGTCACTGCGAGTGTTGCAAGAGGGAGAGGAAGATGAAACTCCGCCCAGTAAGTGTTATTATATTATTTGACTAATCGGACTACTATAGTATTAGTAAATACGAAATGAGTAACACTGTCGGTATCAATGATAATCCTATTGGTTGATAAAATAACGTCTAATAAAAATAAAGATACACTTTTTATACAGTAGTTTAAAACTGCCTTTCGATAAAATACTTGCTTCTATAATTAGGTATTTCTTTTATTCCAAACTGCCCCGGTGGTGTAGTGGCTTGCATGGCAATTAAATTCAAATTTTACAACAGAAACCGAAGGTCAAACCTGTATGAAGACATCAGCCCTGTCAGCGATGATAGTGTCGTGCGGCATACTGCTGGTTGCCCTGCTGGCTGCGCTGCTGGTCGCCGCGCGGGGCTGGCGGCGCAATGAGAACAGAGCACCCTTACACGCGTACGTACCGCATAAGGGCAGGATAAAGTAATGATTTTCATGTAAAATATTCAAAATAAAAGAGATTATAGGTTAATTTTTATTTACATTTGACAATTTAACTAAGCGAATATGTGTACAAATATTGTATGGCATGAATTAATTAAGTATGAAACGTCAAATTAACTAAGATGACGACGGTACATGTTAAAGGAGGCACGTTCGCTTTTAATGAGAATTAGAATTGAAATTGTACATTTAACAATTAATTTAAAATGTAAGTTTATTTTTTGGCAATTAACGAGGGAGTTAACAAAGAAATATTCTTGGATAAAAATTGTCTATGTCATCACTATGGTCAATTAATATTTGGATCAAAATATTTTTTTTTTAAAATATCAATTAGGTATATATACCTATATATATATATTTTATAAAAGAGTAATTCCGTGATATAATTAAATCATAGATTATTTTAGTTTTTTATGTGGAAATGTCAAATTGTGAGGATTTATATTTTTATTAAATAAAATGTTTCTCCTCCTCTTTGCATTCAAATATCTCATATTGTGATACAAAATGTTACAAGCTTAGCAAAAACTATTTTAATATAATTTTGATAGTTTTACTATTTATTATAAAACCTTTATTAAAATAAAACCGTGTTATATATTAAACTAGCCTTGATCTAATTTATAAACTTTGAGAATTAGGTCAGTTTTCATTAACAAAAATCGTATTGTACCCGTTTTAATAATTCGTGCTATAGACACATGTAACACCGAGTTTCAACATACAAGTCTTTAAGTTTTTGTGATCTCTTTTGTGATCTCTCTGTGTTTATTTTTATGTGAAAGGAGATATTTCTGAAGTATGTTTGTTAATGGCTTCAAAACGTGCCAGTTGGGCACAGATTACTTCGCCAATGTCACGTAGAATGGAAAAGACGTCCGAAATATTAACTCTGACTAAAATTTTAATTAAAAGTAAAGTTGATCTTGATGACAAATTGACATGATCATGGGGTCACGAGTACACTCCATGTATAAAAAACTTAATTCACATTATGTATTTATATCCCTTTCCACATAATATAATTAATCTTTGCATAATATTGCATTTTGTGTTTATGATTTTGTTACGTAAAAATACAAGAATTATTTTTGCTAAGCTGTAACGAAAAAGTGACTTTTTAGTATCTAAGTTATTAATTTATTGTACTAAGTACAGCTTATTAAGCAGTAAGTGTACTAAGCATTATGAGATCTGTGGGATCAAATTGTAAATAATATTTTAATTAGAAATAAGACGTTTTGTACTTCCTACAACAAATAAAATAAAATATTAAATACATAATAATTATTTCTCTACTTTTATTCCTTTGTACGATAAAACTTTCTTATATGCCTAATGAAGTCCTCAAACAGTCTTTATTACAGCTTTAACAGTATATCGTTTGAGATAAAATTGGAAACTGAACTGATTTCACATGGATGGTTTTGCGAGACCACTATGTATTGGATACGAAACATGTCGCGAGATAATAAAAAAAAATTGTATGGAAATTCTGTTCATATAAAGAAACTTTATGTTTTTTTAATATAGTTAGTCATATTTTTGTTGAAGTTGAACTTGAATTAGTCATCTTTTTAGTATGTGAATCTTTTTATTTGGATCATATTGAAGTTTAAAGGATGTATTATATTCTATTACAAAAGAGTTCAATTTGCTAAATTAAATATCTGATAACTTACTCAATAATCTTTTTATTTTACGTCAATAAAGTGGTGAAAGGATAAAATAGAAATGAAACTAAATCACTTACAAAACACAATAATATAATGTTAAATGCACACAGCAAAGAAAACCACATGTAAAACAACCACACAAAAGACAATAAATAAAAAATCGATAAAAAAATTTCGTTGTGTTGAAAATTAAAATAACAATAACAATAAAATCTAAAAAAATATGTAAAAATATTGCAATACTGTCATGATTTGTTCGATTTCATAAGTTGTATTAAATCTTCATAAAAGTTCAGTTTAAATTTTAAGGAAAATTGAAACTTATTCCTTATAATGTAAAGTTCAAAACAATAAATAATATAATAAAAACGATACATATCGTTTAGTTTGTTTAACCTATAAATATTTTATTTGTGATTTGTATACATACTTATCTACGGAACATAAACTTTATTATTAAAGGCATAAGATTCAAAATGCTTATGTAGTTTGTTTGTCGGTGGGAAGTTTTTGTAAAACATTCCTTAAGTACTCTATGGCATTATCTAATATTTGTACTTCACATTCTTTTAATAGCTTCACATTTCTCCTGTAACAAAAAATAAATTAGTGACAAAAAAGATATTAATAAAAATAATATGGATATAAAAAAAAATTATTAACAAAAAAAATCGACTTCAAAAAAAAACACCAAAAAGTAAAAAATAACTAATTGGTAGTTTTCATTTACTATAGATAATCAGAGTAATCAGGTATTTTTAAAGTCGGCGTGCTTGGATTTGATGTCAATTTTTAAATGAAGACTGACAAACTAAAATTCGCTTTTATTAGTACGAGTAACACTAAAAAATCTGGCTCTAAAATCTAATTCTTTAGGCTTGTTAAATCAAACAAAATAAGCACAAAGAAAAAGTATCTACTTTTAGCCGTTGAAGTTTCACCTATCCACCTTCTGGCCTTACCACCAGATCATGTCGACGATACCGAATCACTGAACTATCAACGGAAATAGAAACACTTGCAAAGTTTCAAGTCAATATGACAATTAGAAGTAGGTTAAATTCATCATTAGCTATTTTTTTTATACATAATAGGTGTTTTTTTTTTTCAAATTTAAATGGGACCAAATTGAAAGTATATTATACTTTCAAACAAAACAAAAAATGCCCAAATCGGTTAATAAATGACGAAGTTCTGGGGTAACAAACAAAAAGTACAGTCGAATTGAGAACCTCCTCCTTTTGGAAGTGGTTCATTATTATATAACAATTATATATGTACCTTCATTTAAAAATATTATTCTCTTTTCATTAACATTATTGTATAGTTGAAAGTGTAGAACGTCTTTACACCAAGAAAAGAAATAGTGGAGAAAGTAATACATATTATCTTAATATATTTCATTCTTCTGTACGTGTGTTTGTCACCTTACTCCTCCTTAAGCGCTGGACCGATTTGGATGAAATTTTTTGTGTATATTTCAAAGGGCTCCTAGATGGTTTGAAAACACAATTGGACCCGGTAGGTGGCGCTGCTGTCGGTGCGTCAAAGAGTTTGTATTTTTAGTAGTTTGAACGTGGGCGAAGCCACGGGTACTGCTAGTATAAATATAAATTCAAAATCCTGACTGACTGATATATCAACGCAACACCTTAACCGCTGGTCATAGATACATGAAATTTGGAGGGTGTGTTTTTTGTAAAGTGTAGGTAACCACTAAAATAGGGTTTTTTGAAATTCCACCCCTAATGGGGAGAAATGGAGGGTTGAATATTCTATAAAAAAATATTGTCTAGATCCACTGACTCGAACATTGTTACACATACTTTTTAATTAAAATTATCAGGCACGTGTCTCACAATTTTCCCAAAATCATCCCCCAACATGGTAGACGGGCGCAGGGTGGCGCAGGACGTGCGTCAGAGCGGGGGTGTTTCTTTATTAATTAATTTTAACATAAAGCCAAAGAATTTGTTTTTTGTGGTTTTAACGCGAGTATAATATTTATTTAGCATACCTATGCAAAGATTCAGTTTCGCTTTCATCTTTCTTATAAGAGGCCTTTAGCAGTCCGCATCTGGTTAGCAGATAAGTGTAGGCTCTGCGATCGATGTCGGCACCCACTGCTTCCGAACTAATATCGTCCGATGATACTAGATCACTCGGCATACTTAAGCTCGACCATTTTGTTAATTCATCTGAAAATAATAAACACAACATTCAAATTATATCTTTACTGAATAAGACTTTTATAAGCACTTTTCAACTTCAACGTCTTCTATTTCAGTTCGGAAAACAGTTCAATTGAAACATTCGAAGTGAAGCTCAACAATTACTCTTTTAAATGTCGAGATATAGTATGTATGACACAAAATAATGAATATCCCGTACACAAATCGTTCTTTTTTAAATATAAAAATTGGTAATATGCTATCATTACTTACGAAATAATATTATTAAAGAAGGAATACTGTAGAAGTTTTGAAGACACCTCAGCACTGACGATGTATATATACATTTTATTTTTGGGTATAATAAAATTTGATAGTATATCAATATCTAAAGTCAGTACTTATGCATTATCCGACTTACCTTGGTTCATATTAAATATCCGTATAAACGCCAACAATTCAGGGCTAATCGGATTCGAATCCGAATATAAGCTGTAGTGTGTGACTCCGGAGAGACCAAGTTTGGTTAAAAGTCCCAATTTTGCCTCACGAAGAGGATCGCTCGTACTCACTCCTAATGCAAGAGACAAACTATCGTATTGATTTTGTGGGTATACGAACCTGCAAAATTCCATAATTATAAAACAATAAAATAATGAATGATAATGAATAAAGTGTCTGTGTGTAATGTCAAAATAACAGCTTTACTAATTGAATATAAAAGTATATACGGTACCTATCTTACTACAACTATGCATATGTAAAATTTAGTTTTTCTTCTTTTATTCATTCAAAGTATCGTTAAAAATAATAGTATAACATAGCACTTAAAGTGTTAATTATACATACTTTAAACAAAGAAGAATTTCAAGCAGAAAATTTAATAAGCCATAAAGTTTAACACAGTAATTTATAATTAAGCGGCTCATTACGTATACTAAGCTTAACTCAATTCACATATAATTGAGCTCAATTTTTTACAAGTGCAAGTAGTGTGTTCACATGTGAAGTGAAAGAGTTTAGGATAAGTTAAGACAAAGCTAATAATTGTAGAAATATTTTTTTTTTTAAATTGCAATACTTAATAGATTCCATTTATTCGATATTTGTATAGATTAGAAATCAATACATATTTACTTTTTATAGTATAACTAGCACTAAGTATTTCTTTTACGTGTAGTCATTACTTTAGACAAAACAAAATGACATCTGATAATGTTTCAAACCAAAATGAATTAGCAACTTTCGGCAAAGTATTTTTGGTTCATATAATGTTTTTTAAAATACTTAATATTAATTTTAAATGATAAATTATAGGAGGTGGGCAATGTAACTATTATCCTCAAATAGATACAACTTTAGCCTAAAAATAAGTGTAATCGTTATTTTGGTTTAGGGTGGACCTAAGTGAGAACATGTCAAGTAATGAAAAGTAATATAATTTATTTACATTAAAGAATATCCTAATGACACTGGAAATTCTGGCAACACTATAACGTTACGAGTGATGTAATTTTACATAACTGGGTTACATCACACGTGCATTATGTAAACGTTTTGTTTGTTTTGAAGAATGTGCGATGTTTTATGTTTGTATGGACTGTTTGGTTTTAAAAATATTTGAATAGAATTGATCTCGCCGGAAATGAAAGCGGATTAACTATTCATTTATTCATCATCTTATAGTAATATATTACTAAATTGATGTAATAACGTCCATATGTAGTTTGTAATTCAAATAACTTAATTTAGTTTTAATTTATTGCGGATATATTCCAGGTCGATCTCTCTCATTGCTCGTTAGGACTGCTCTTAAAAAGCTCCAAATAGTAGCCATAAAAGCTCATCTAATTAGAATTCTATAAACTTTTCAATTCTTAAATTTGAACGCGAGACTTATTAAAATACCAAAATAAAAAAAAAAACCACTCGAAATAAAATGAAATAAAAGCCAATAAAAAAGCGTAGAGAAAAGTGGTGTTTGTAGACGCAATAAAAAAAATCTGTTAGGACGACAATATTACATCTCCTGCGCAGATATTATCATTGAGATTACCGCAACCGAAGTCGGCCATGAGGGCATTATAATGTGCATGAAATTTTTGATAGTTGTTTTTAAAAGTTGTGTACACTGTATTACCCATTATGGAGGAATAGGTCGGCATTCGGTCGCGCTCCGTAAAATATGAAGATTTGTTCGCCCGCCGCAAAGTCGCGTAACGCGTAACACTCGCCACGTTTCAACTCTTTATTGTAGTCAGTTGTTATCTGTATATAAAATAATTATAAGCTTTCATGTCGAATGTTTTATTCAAACTAATTGGGATGGTTCTTTATAAAAAAATATGCTCTTAATACTAATTCAATTTCATATTATATTTCTATTTAGTTGGCAAAATTCTTATAAAAATAACTATTAAAACTCAAGAGAACATTTTCAAGACAGAAATGATATCAAGGCCTTAATATTTTATAATTGTAAAACCTTAATTTTCTTATTAAATTTTTAGTGACACTAAACTGAAACAAGTAAACTATGATATATTTATTAGGGGTGTGCGAATATCGTTCGAATCGAATCGAATCGAATATCAATATTCGATTCGAAATTCAAGTCGAATAATTCGAATCTTCGAATAATTCGAAAAATTTCGAATAATTCGAAGAATTTCGAATAATTCGTAAAAATTTCGAATAATTCGAAAGTTTTTGAATAATTCGCGAATTAATGAAATATCTCTGGATCTTCAATTGTATCCATTTAAATTCCTTCAAATCGTGTGTCAAAATAGTCTACTTACGAATAATATACTTTTCGTTTAAAAATCAATTACCCAGAGAAAACAATTGCTCATTTTTAAAATTTGCAATATATGTTCGAATTGTTCGAAATTTTTCGAATTATTCGAAATTTTTCGAATTATTCGAAATTTTTCGATTTATTCGAAATTTTTCGAATTATTCGGGAACTTTCGAATAATTCGAATTTTCGAATTATTCGATTCGAGTTTCGAATCGGATATTAATATTCGATTCGGAACGAATAATTCGTAAGTTCGAATTATTCGCACACCCCTAATATTTATAGGTGTACCTTTCCATGTTCATGATTGCACATATCCCAGAGCGGTATAAAAGCGATTGAAGGAGCGTCAGAGAGATGGATATTGTTCTGCCGGGTCATTACTGTTGACACTGCCCACCTGTAAGCACATTAGAATTTGATTATTATTAATAACTTTTTTTTTCATTTTTTAAAGTACATATTTAAGAAAATTGAGATTGTTTGAATGTTATTTTTTTCAGGTATAGGTATGCAAAATTTATTAATATACGTATGAGGTTGGGCGGACGGCATCGTATAAATATTTAATGAATTCACTATTTCTAAATTATTATTGTCTAGAATAATATTTTAATAAATTATTGAAAAAATATAGTTTTAACATGAGTGACGCATAGAACGAGCAGGAGGGTCGAGAACCTAATTACCTATCGATTTAACATCGATTTTTAGCGGATATCGTGGGCAACTTGGGATATTTAATTTTCATTTTCATGCCTTTATCCCCTTCAACAGCTTCATTTTTGTCTTAAAAATAAAATTTACTAGTCATTTCTTTCTAAAAAATGATATAAAAAGGCACTTATTATGGAGAACTAGCGACTCACCCTCGCTTTGCTCGGGTTCATTCCGTAGGTACGTTGTAACAGTTATTATAGAATAGATAGACTATATACATACTATATGATATATAACCTAAAGCTACCTCAATGAACGGGCTATCTAATGCAAAAAGATTTTTTCAAATCGGATTAGTACCTACCTACTTCCTGAGGTTAGCGCGTTAAATCAAACAAACAAACTCTGCTTTTTTACTTATTTAGGACCAAGGCTTAATTTGATTTTTTTTAATAATGCAAAATTGTTAGTTAATCCTATCGGGCTATAAAAAGTATAGAGTTCTGCGCCTTCTTAAAATACTGTTCTTCCCAGGCAGGAGTATACCCTAATTGAATGATTTTTTTATCATCTATATGAGACTGTACGTTAATATAAGCCCTTGACGTATAACATATAAAAATGATATATATTCAAAATGATTCACAGTTAACGAAGATATTTCGTTATATAATATCGAATTATGTCTCACTCTTTCTTAGATTTACGCGTATATTTGACATTTCAAATAAAACTATCTTCTTTAAAGCCGGTAACATACTAATTATTCAGTACACTTTCCCTAAAAGACTCCCTACATTATAGTGATTACGTGACACTTACTATGATATCAAAGATGAAATCCACAATAGGTTACTATTGTAACTTTCTGTACGCTTTTACTTTTCTCAGGGAAATTTATTTACTTGTTACATTTATGAGATTACGTGAGTGCTTAAAATATATAATTTGTATAACAATGCACTATAACTTGTTAGAACTGGGAAAATAAACCATTATTTTTTTAAATTAAAACATTTGGATAATGATTTGTTAAATTAATGTTTTAAATACCTTAATTCTAGTAATATTATATAACATTTAACGATCCAGATTTTGTGTAAAAAACTAGATTATTTTAGTATATTTTTTATTAAACTTTTGTTCACACTTTAGTATTAGGTACATATATATTATGTTATTGTAAGTTTAAGTTATGAGACAATGAATCAATTATCAGTATTCAGAGAAAGCAATACCATCTAAAGGAATGCTGTTGTTTATTCATTACTTGAGATATAGATATTTTATTTATATACATTATGCAATTAAAGTGTTGGTAAGTAGAGCGTTAAATTAAGATTAAATATGATAAAAAGGCGCGTAATACGCCTTAGAAAATTATTCCATGAAAGTAATTTTAGTTCCTTAACTCGATAAGTAACAGTGTCGGTTAAATGTTACCAAATGCTAAATTAAATGTGGTTAAATAGAAATTCTTCATAAATTATAATAATATAGGAAATGCAGTATTACATCCAAACTAAGTATTATATAAACTGAACAGATTGTGTATAACTTTCAAATGCATAGTTCACAGCGAGATTATAAAATATCTTCATAAATAATAATATCATAATCATCATATGAATCATGAGACTTTTTACGTGTATATCAGATTAGACTTTTAATGTAAATGCTATAACGTTTAATAAAACAATTTTAAACAGTTTATTAACATCGCATTTATAAAAGCTGTATTCTATTTATGGAGTGACAGTTCAGGGCGATGGCTTTGGAAAACAAAAGTGTACCTATGTATATTGTATATAATCTAAGGCATGTTATATAGGTAGTAGGCTGAAGACAGAAAAGTAAGAGTGTGAGAAAATACGCTAAGAATGACCCATAGCATAGACAGATGTTATAGAGCGTGTATTCCATTGAAAAGTTTAAACGCAAAAACAATAATCAATATCTAGTCAATGCACAATTTAATTGACTTATAACTACTTATTGACTATACCTATATATATATACGGGAATAAGAAATCGCGTGCTTTTCTTATTTAATTATTTTAGATGCGTTTCATTTCTAACGCAGATGAAAGAACAGAATATAATAATTTAAACGATAAGATGGAAAGCGTGGCATATTTTTTATAGAAATTATATTTTAAAATTATTACCAATGTTATAGGTGGGTACATTATGTAGGTATATTGCCAACATAACATAACGCTTCGGTAAAAATTAAGTCTAAAATGTCTATGGAGGTGGTATGCCTAAATACATTTCTCAACATTAAAAAAGGCATAATATACTGGCCATAAGAGTATGCATAATTATTTTTAGTATTCATTGTTTGAAGTACCTAGTTTTATTCCACTTTTTGTCATTTCTTTGTTTCATTATTGATGTAATCTGCTTGATGTTACGTAAAGTTTACTTAGAGAAAATATCGCTAGAAAAGTCTAAGAGAAACAACCTGGGGCGAGCGGGCGTGAAAATTGTGATTCTTAGGTTATTATCTCCACTAGCGTCAGGAAGTGGTTTTCGTACAAAAACGAAGAAGATATAACATTATGTAAATAGTCATAATACCTCCGACTTTGAAATTATATTAATTTTATATAGATTCCGAACAAAGGTAAAATTAAATAAAATATATGAATATAAATAGAAATAATAATCTGTGTTACAGGTGTTTTATTATTATAAAGTAAAAGCAAAAAGCAATATATCAAAGATTCAAATGATAATTCGATGATATACTCGTACATTCCGCGTGGTAGGCGGCGCGTGCGCACATTCCGTTTCACATAATAGTATGATCACTGTTCAGCATCTTTACAAATGGAAATTACATCGTAATTTATGATATATAGTGCCATAACTCAGTTTCACCATCTACGGGATTACTTGGCATTTATTCTTATGTGACATGCAAATGACAGCTGCTTTATTAGTTCAGTGCATATGTATGTATGTGCTTAATAATTGTATTTCATATCGTGTCTATCTGTATTTAATTTGAAATATTTCTTTATAGTAAGTAATAACTATTTTGTAACTAGTAATTTAGTAACAGATAAAACAAATATTTCGGATACAAAAATAGCTTAAACAAACATTAAAACAACAAAAATGGATTTACACGCTAGAATAACTTAGAAGTAATGAAAGCACCTTATAAGCATATCATTAGGAGCTTAATTTAAAATTTAGCTCTAAGACATAGATTACGCTCTACTAAAAAGGTAATACAACTCTATCCCTTCAAAATACCAAAGTGCACGCCGTGTTTATTGAAGACTAGACTGTTATGGTGAGGCTGCTTGCCACTCCTACGCATCGTACAGTTGCGCGCGAACGTATCGACTCACTTTCACGTTCAAAAAATAAAAAGGGGGAAACTCACGCGAGAAATCTTAAATTTTTCTCTAATAATCAACTAGTAATATAATCGACGTCAACGGGCGAGCGTTATCGGATTGTTTACAAATAAATTATGTGGAAATAGAAAAAAAACGATCGAACGCGCGCAAACACGAGTGATTACAGTGCAAGTGTGTTAATCTCTTACTTCTTTTCTTCTTTTTCTAACTTAACTCTTTTCTTTGTTTCCTTAAATTGCAAATATTGATTCGGTGCTAAGTTTGCAATATCAAATCTGTGAAATAATTTAAAGACAGCGTGATTTTAATTAATTTATTTCTTGAGTTGTAATATGGGTTGTACTGCGAAAGTTACCATGCCCTTATTAAGTACGTTGGCTGCTTTGGTGATAATAGTACACACTGCTGAAGAAAACTACGAGCTGAGCTATCGTGAGACACTTCCGAGAATTGTGGACGTAGAACCACATAGTTATGGTCAGGTAAATGTTTAAATAAGATTCGAATTTTAATTACCTTATTTGCTTTTAAAAAATAATTACAAAAAATAAATAAAAGTTAAAGCAATATCCACCGGAATTGGATTCTTAATAAATGTCACGCGATTCGTCGTGCAACGAGTTCGTTAATCATTGTATACCAAGCGAAATTCACAAACAACTTAACTTTCATTAATACTTTGTTAGCATTAGATAGAATATTTCTATTATACGTATCGTATGCTATAATAGTAAAGGTCGCCATGTAATTATATACTTGTTATACATCTAGCAGTTTTTCTGGCTTCCCTCGGCTTTTATATTTATTGTATAAAAGTTGTTCTCGTTTGTTTCAGCAACGATAAATTAGGACAGTGAACTTAATATATACTAGCGACTCACCCTCGCTTCGCTCGCTAGTTTGATTCCCCACATAAACTTTCATCCCCATTTTCACCCCCTTAAGGGATGATTTCCGGGATAAAAAGTATCCCATGTTCTTCTCAGAGTCTCAAACTACCTTCTTACTAAATTTCATCTAAATCGGTTCAGTAGATCCAGAGGTTACCTCCTACTACGTCACAAACTCACAAACATTACCTCTTTATAATATTAGTATAGATTATAAAAAAAATATCATCGCCAATGGGTATAGTTTTTGGTAAAAATATATTTAAGGGATTTTGGGATGCAATAGAAGCCAAATCAACTGTTTTTAGAATTGTTTCTGTCTAACTGTATTGTGTCTGTATAACACTTAAGACTTTCAATGGAATCTCTTTTAATAATACAACATTTAAATTTAATAATTTATTTTAAACGTTGTTGTATTTAACAACATTAGTTTTAATTTAAACTACTCGAGATAACCCGAAGAAAAAGCGTAACCTTAAAGTTCTACAAGTTTCTATATAGGTAAGCATTTGATGGCCAGGTTTGCTTGTTACAAAAATAAACAGAACGAAATCAATTATAAAGAAAATAATAAAAATAATGATACGAAAGGCAGTAGGTACTATGCCTTAGGAAATAGGCGTTAACCAAATTTACTGATGTAGATCGATGGGTAATTTGCGTATTCAAAGACTAGATAAGGTATAGGTACTTTTTAGATTATACCGTGGGGTACAAATAATTAATTTTTTTAGATACTTTATTTTGAAATTACGTGCAATAGAAGGTCTGTTGTCATGTTTACTGAATAAAAAATGAAAATCAACTTCAAATTTTTGTCTATAATTAAAAACGTAAACGCTTCCGAATTGAGAGCTTATTTCTTATATTCGAGTTAGTTAAAAATAATATGGATACTTCTAGAAGGAATAACATGATAGATATGTTCAAACTCTTCGATTTAAGGCTTGTGTAATTTACCTACTGTACTTTTAAAAACTATTTATTTATTTTCAAAATATTGTAATGCCGTTTTAAAAATTACTAACAATAAGAAAACGTATTTGTAATGGTTATTTAATTAAAGACTCTTAGTACACAGAAATTCTGAATATATACCTATAGAAATTCTGGATATCTTGAATTTAATTATGTAAAGGAACGTTTAAAATAACCTATAGAATAAATTTTCAATAATAGAAAAACGTACTAACTACTAATAAATGAATAAATGAATGAAGATTCACTAATTATCGCGATTTTTTTTTTATATTAAGAAGTATAACTTTACGAAAGTTAGCATCTTAACCGACTTCTTTCGTATAATTACGTAACTAAGATTTCAGATATCAAAAAGTACAGTATCATAAAATAACTTAACGGAAATTATAATAACGTAATAAATATGTGTAGCCGAAAAGCGTGTCATGTTAGTTATAATATACTATATATGTATGTACATAAAATAAATTACACACTCAAAAATGTTTTTTTTTTAAATATTAGCAACAGTCATTATATATGTATGTATATAATAATATTGATAGCTTATTGAATTATAATGCAATTCTAGATTCAAAACAAAAATGCATAGCAAAATTTTAAATTCTATTCAATGATCTCTCTGCAATTATTTAGCATATTGAATATTATGTGAGAATATAATATAAGAATATTAAATTTACTAGAAATACACAAAATTAAAATGTAAATACTTAAGTATAAAGAAATAGGCACAATTTTAATAAAAAACAAATGCAAATATATATTGCAAAAACCTAAGTATTTACTAGTAGCCTTTAAAGAATTCCACTATCCACTTTTACCGTCATAACAACTCAATAATACCATATTATTGTTCTATTATCGAAAATATGGACATTTGCAAAGCTTCGTCAATATGACAATTAGAAGTAGGCAAAAAATATTAATTAGATCTGTTTAAATAAACGAAATTTCTAGGGGTTTGTCTGATTTTCTCAAAAACGGTATACCTACTCTATGCCAAAGAATAATTTAATATAATTTTAATTTAATATAATTTATTAAATAATTTTATGAGTCCACCAAGAGACCTTAATAGAATACAACTAAAGCTTAAAAACGGTCAAGCAATCTCCGATAAACATATGCACATAAAAATAAAAATAAACCTTCCACCATGGAAGTCGGTTAAAAAGTGTTAACTAAAAGTACCGATCAACAAACGCAACGCGGATGCCCGATCAAAAGCAAAAATATCGCTTCTAATAACTTTATTTGCATAAACTTTACGTTCACATCATTGAAAACCGGTATCGCTTTCGACTTTCCTTGAACATTATGACATCTATTTTGTAACAGCTTTCTTTGGTGATATAACGGCGAGGGTTAAGGCGAGTATGTAAAATTATAGAGTACATCAGTAATTAATTATGTTCATAACTTAAAATGACATGTAACTTTTGTTAGATATAATGCGTTGTCACGTAACACGCAAACACTCTTTCCGTATTGGATGTGGAACAACACGGTTTGACCTTTTAAGTATTTTTTTACCTTTGTGTCTAAACAACCGTAACATTTGCCAACGATTTTTATAATATATTGGTATAATTTTATTTAAACATATTTAACTAATATTATGAATGCGAAAGTTAAAAGTACGAGTATGTATCTAAAGGAGTATGCTGTTATTTCTGCGCTCTCAAACGATTCAATCGATTTGAGTGATATTCGGAATGGTGATAACTTATCTTCTGGATAAATACTTAGGGACTATTTTATACAAACCACGCGAGCGGAGACCAAACAAAATATTAGTTGTTATATAGATGTTTTTAGTTAAAATATAAAGAAAGCCAAAAAACTATATACTATGTTATAACCGGGATAAAAAAATGACACGTATTTGAGCTAATTTTTCTTTCTTTCTCATTTACCAATGACATTTAACAATGGAATAATATTTTTTTTTAAATAATTATTATGCCTAATTTCAGTTATGGAGCGCTGTAGAAGTAGAACCAGCGATTATGCATAATACTCAACAAAATCAAGATGGCTGGAGTGATGCGAGTCCCGACCAACCGATGCGACGAAGAAGGCGCAAACGTAAACGACGACCACAGTTATCTCCACAAAACGAACTGCAAATTCAGGATACCCAGATATTTCAAAACGAACCTCATGTACAACAAGATACTGTAGAAATGACCCGAAGACGTAGAAAAAAAGTTAACTATCACGATACGGGGGAACTTAATCTACCTGGCCAATTGACTGAAGATATTCCCAATAAACCGTTGAGAAGGAGAGGTCACAGACGAAAGAGACCATTGGTAGAACATCGACCGGAGTTGAACGAATTTAGTGGAAATCGGCCGGACACTAAAGTAAATAATGAACATACTGAAACACAAAGCACTAACGTTTTTGAAAATAAAAATGTGAACAACGAAGAACGCATAATAGTTGAACCCGAAATTCAAGAGGATCATGAAAATGAAAATTTTGAAGAGAAAATAACCCAAGTGAATATAGTCGATAATAAATCAGAACAAGAAAAAGTAGAATATGAAAGCTATTTGCCAAAAGATAAGTCCCTTTCAGAATTTTCATCTGAATTATTAAGAACAACGCAAAGTTCTAATATACATATGTTAAAAACCAAACCTAAGATATTTGATAAAACTATAAGTGTAACTAATGATGTCAATGAATCACAGGTAACAAGTAATTTTCTGTTTTTATTTAGGTTATTTTAAATTATGGGCAATAAATAAATTTGTAAATTATTAAATATTCACTTTAAATTTGTAAATTATTAATAATATTAATGTAGAAAAAATAATAAGAAACAGATTATAGTTTTCTTTTAATAGAAGGATATATAAATAGCAAAATAAGAACTTGGATCAAGTCACATCAGAAGACAAAAATAAATATAAAAAGGTGAATCAATAAGCAAAGGCAGTTTTTGACAAAATAAATCTTCGTTGTTGAGTACTAACATTTAGACTCTAGTATCTAGATTATAATTGTGCTCTAATTTTCTTAATCTTCTGCAAAAATAATGTTGTGTTTTAAACTTCTTTTACTGTGTAATAAATTACAACTCTTTTAATATTTGTTCTAAATATATGTTTAAAATTGTTGCTTATTTTGGTTTCAGGAAAAAGAACTATTAGATCCAGTTACTCTGAAAGCATTGTTAAAAAAATCAAACGGTAAAAGTCTGAGTGAAATATTACAACAAAATAATTTATCTCTATCAGATTTACTTCATGGTAAAGCAAAAGCTTTGTCAATTCTACAGACGACCGATCTGTCTGATACCAAAGATACAAAACAAACTGAATTGGAAAATAAATTTTTAAAAGTCACTATCGCACCTATCGATAATGTACAATCAATTGTAACTGATGAAAAGAATGAAGACGCAAGCATTATAACTGAAGTAAAACATGAACATGATAATAAAGAAAATGCAGATGTTGACGACTGCTCCACAACAGAGACAAATTTGGATAATAAGGAAAATACGAGCGAAAAAACAAATTCTATAAAAGAGGACTTAAAAAATTCTGCTATAACCGATAATAAAATTAAAGATAATTTAAGGCGTCGTTTTCCAGTAGGTGCACGGCGAAGACTACGAATGAGACCCACAACTAACAGTACTAACAAAGTGCAATTCAATAGGGACCTTATAATGTCAACGTCATTAAAATATAAAAATAATAGAAATATGAGCAAATCGAAAGAATGGAAAGAAGTTGTAGCCACAATGTTACGAAGGAGACCAACATTTAAAGAAGTTAATATAGAACCTAAATCAGATAGTACTAAAATAACTACAGTTATTGTTGCACCAGAAGAAACGACTACTGAAGAAATATTCGAAACAACTACTGATCCTTATTCCCTATTAACAAACACAGAGACAACAATTTATACAGATAATACAGAAACTTTAAACACTGCCGATTCCAGAATATCTAATATTATACCAGAAATACCATCACCTACAGATACAACTATTGAAGATGATGGTATAACAGAAAAAGTACCATTATATGAAAAGACAAATATTTCACCAGTTCTGAAGCCATTAGTTAATTCCTCAGAGTTAAGGAGGCACGCTTACAACAATAGATTAAAAAGAAAGAGGTTAAAACAAAAAGTAGTAAGCACAGAGGAACATGAAATAAAAGATATTTTTGGTGATACAAATTTTGTTTCAGCATCTGAATTTATTGAGAAAGTTCAAACCAAAGCAACAATACCGGATAGTGAAGAATACACGACGTTAGAAGATTTTATGACTACTGAGCCTGTACAGAATGCACAAACTACTCCAATCAGATCTACAAAAACATCAATAAAAACTACAACAACCACAATTTCTACAACAGAAAGTGCTCCAGATTCCACTGAAGATTCTGCTAAATATGAAATTGAAGAAATACTCAATGACAGTATGAGTAAGTTTCATCATTATGCATATAAAATAATTTAAATATGTATACCAATATTGTAAAGAGGCAGAGTTTGTTTGTTTGTTTGTTTGTTTGTTTGTTTGTTTGTTTGTTTGTTTGAAAGCACTAATCTCAGGAACCACTTATCCGATTTGAAAAAATTTTTTTGTATTAAATAGCCCGTTTATTGAGAAAGGCTATAGGCTATATATCATCCCGGAAAAATGTCCGGTTCCTCTGGGATAGACTTGTTTTTGTATAGGGACGAACCCGAAGCGAAGCGAGGGTGAGTCGCTAGTTTTCATATACATACATATTAGGTTTTATTAACTTTGCAAGCCAGCACGATTCGATACCTTGTAACTCTGATCATCTAAGTCATATGTCTGTTTTTCTATTAGGATGAGATTATTTATCACTGTTAACTGCACAATGTTGGTTTATTAAATTTTTGATATCGTGTTATATTTTTGTTTAATTTAGCTTTAAATGTGCGAGTTAATAAATATTACATATAGCATCTTAAACTTTTTTTAAGTTAAATTATTATTTCTAGAAGACTAGACTATAAATATAACTATTTTTTGTTTACAGCTAGCGAAAGACTTTCAAAAATACTGAAAGAGAGAAATATGACTTTAAGTGAGTTAGTCGAACATAGAGAAAGAGGATCAAGCCACGTTCACTTAGCAGATATATTTCATAATGCCTCGAAAGAACCAAATCCACCTGAACCATTTTTATCCAAATCACTAATCGAACCGATATCTAGAGAAATATATCCTTTAAGAGCTCTATTAGACGCGAACTTGCACGATCCTAAGACTACAACTTACGATGCCAATTCAGTTCTAACAAATAATCTCGATATTCCTGTAGTAATGGACTTTGGAAATAATGTTAATGAAAATGGAGAGAATATGGGGATCATTTCATTATTTAATAATTTTAGTAAAATTAATAGCGAGATGCAAAATAATAAGGAAAATAAACATGAATATGATAAAATATATAGTAATAATTTAAACAAAAACGAAAAGGGAAGGGAAGGTCGTACGTTAAGTTCTGAAAAAGATGCAATGACTTTGAATGATCTGATAAAATTTATGCAAAAGAATAATCAGAAAGGAAATATAAATGTTGACACACTTAAAACAGAAAGTAAGTTTATATAAATGTTATTTTCTTTTAGTTCGGATAATATAATATTATAGCAAAATACATAATTTGAAATAATACTTTGTAAATATGTTTAAAATGTTAGATTATTGTGAAAATAAAAACATTCCCTATCTTTAAAACATGCTTATTAAAACGTTTACTAATAGCAAAAATTTATGAGAATGCTGTACCTATTAACTAAAAAACTATTTTAAAATAAAACTGCCCTTTCGCTTTTTTTTATATCAAAATTTTATAAAGCGCGAATAAATCCGAAAAGATAGTTTTATTTTAAAATGTCAAATATTCACGTAAATCTAAGAAAGTATTATAAAATATTATAATTTTAAAATAACTGTTATTGCAGGTTCACCTACCTATGAAAACCTTAAGAACATAAAATTAGAAGATATTGACAATGATGGTTTAATTGTATTAGAAGATTTGCAAAATTTGAAAAATTTCGATAGCAGACCATCTTCTGACGAGTTGTTGGATATAAAACTTTATAAAAATAATGAAACTCCAGCTAAAACGCCAATAGAGTCTTCATTAAACTCAACAACAAAGTCCGTGACTGTAGCCACTGTTACAATTATTGGACTGGCTTTAACATTATTTTTGTTAACATATATTGTATTGAAATGGAAACAAAACAGCAAAAGTTATCACAATAAGCATTCAAAAGAAGACAAATGTGTACCTACTCCTATTTTTGAAAATAGAAAAACTCATAAAAGAAATAGTAGCACCCGCAGTAAGAGTCCAATGATTTCCTCTAACATATATACAATAGATTCTTTGGACACACATACAGGCAATGAATCACCAGAATACATGTGGGACACATTGAGAAAGCCATTTCAATAGATAAGTATTGCATTTTACTGTTAAGATTAGACTGAATTTAAATATAGATTAATTTATTCTTAATTTTATTATAAAACTATGTAATAATGTTATGGGGATTTGTTGCATTAGTGACCTGATAAAGCATATTTTTAGTGTTTTTACTATAGATTTTGATTAAAAACGATTGTACTGTACTGTGAAAGTTACTGTTTTCAGTATTATGTGGCATGTGCAATAGACTATATTAATAAACATATGTATGTATTTGTTAAACTTACTTTAATTAATAAAATTTTAGATAACTATGCATGGGTTATTATTGCCAGTAAAAAATTAAACCTAATAAAACCTAAAACAATAAAGGCTAGCAACCTTTACATATTAATAATGTAGATATTTTATAAAATAATAATAATGGGCACAGCAGCAGAATATTAATTAAGTTTACTTCCTTAATTATTCTGTCAGCAAATAAAATATTATCTTCATTCCACTACTAAAATACATAGTCAATTAAAGAATTGTACACTTTTCTTATGAGAAACTAATAAATTGGTAAGTATTGGTATTATTTTATGGCTATTTTCTCACCTGTAATTTTCAAAAGTAAATATATCTTGTAAATTCTTGAGTACTGGTATACCTAAAGTATGTATTTTAATATAAAAGTATGCATATTGCCTAGCAATACTTCTATACAATTTTAATGATGATTCAAATGTAGGTGAAGGCTGCAATATATGAATAAAATTAAACACAAGTAATAATTAAAACAATAAGAATCATTGATTAATGAAATAATTACCCGAAGTTCAGCTAATTCATCTGAAGTATAATAAAGTACTGTAGGATATTTTTCTGGTAAGATATCTATATATGGCTTCCAGAATGAATCTGAAAAGTAATAAAAGAACAATTAAGCAATAATTTTACATAAATAAAATAGCATACAAGTATATTTTTACCAATATTTAGTATAAGTTAATATTATAAAACAATAATTATTCATAGTAAAAATTAATATTAAAATTAGTAGAAAAAGAAATGAATATTAACAATAATATATATCACCTGGGTTACTCTTTTCATATAAAAGAAATAATGCTAAAGTAATATTTGGCATATTTTGTAATAGTGGATCAACATTAATATATGGTGATAAATCAGATTCTTTTGCATTATTTTCACTCATCATCACCTTACATGGTACTGTGAGGATAAGTGATCCTTCAGTAAATTCTTTGGTAGCCTTTAAACCAAATTCATAGCCATCAAATTCAGTTATCTGGACACCTGGAATTAGAAAATAATTTCAAAAGTTCAAATGTTTGGAAATGTGTTTACTCAATTTAATGTATTGATTAAGTGAATTATTATTACCTTCAAATTGTGCTCCATTCTCATTTAACCAGCTGACATACTTTTCTATGTTTAATTTTCTTTCTATTTGTTCTTTTTTTATTAGGGGTTTTTCAATATTAATAATTTCTTTAATTAATTCTTCAATTTGTAAATGGTGCTCCCAATTCTTATTTGTTGTACCTGTAGCTTGAAATATGCTTGTTAATTTAAGAACCTTGTCCACTAAAATAGCTAGTTCTTTTCGTTTTTGTTGAATAAATCTGCTTCCCTCCTTTACATTTCTTTTTTTAGAATTTTGTTTCGACTGCACTTTTCGTTCCATGTTCTGATATACTAGCACTTTTAATTTATATTTTTAAAAGTACAGCTGCTAACTAAGTAAAGTAATGCTTGAATAAATCTAAAACGTGGAAACATGAATAATACTAAAAATAGTAAAAGTTTGAAAATTGACACTTGAACTTATAGTATGACAGCAGACGTACCGTCTCGTATGACAAGCACAGATAATAAATCAGGAAAAGATGTAAGATCAAAAAACTTTAATATTAAAATACCTCTAAGCAGTCAGGGTTGGGTAACTTTGTTTTTAAGGGATTGGTTGAGATAAAATTCTTAAGGCAGATAGGGGCACGGGAAGGAGTAAGGTGGTCTTCCATCATAAGCTGGCAGGGAGGTAAGCTTATTTTTTTCAAGGCATATGGAAAAAATAATGGTATATTGAATATATTTGTAGTGTCTTTCAGTAATTTTAGAAAATCTGTTATAAAAAATGCTTTTCTATTAAAACAAAAATACTATTGTAAAACATTCAATTAACATGGAGATACGGCATAGCATTTAATTTTAGGTTTAAAATTTAGGTAGGTATTTTTAATTCAAAATAATGTGGAATACTTTGAATTTATTAGTAATATGATTATTGATAGAATCCATCTATCCATGGCTAATGTAATTTTAATTAAAATAAAACTAAGCGCATAAAAATTAATAAATATTTAAAATTAATGATTAATTTTTAAATAATGAAGAGATATATTCAAATTTTGGTTACTTACATTTTAATTATCATCAAGAAAGTTTATTGGTGTCGCTGAAATGGAACTGATTAAAATTATATAAAAATATAACAATTTCAAATTTCTTTTTTTTGTACCTATTGTATAATATGTCTATAATATTTCGTTTGTAATTAGTAGGTACTTACATTCATTTTTCAATGATATTGATCTTTCTTAACCATTTAAACCCTGCTATATGGGCCCCACCGTGTTCACTGCACTTTTATCACTTATTACACGAAGAAATGACTTTATTTTTTGCTGTATGAGTGATACACGCCAACTATGTATAGAACTTTTATTAACTATAAAATCAAAGAAAATATTTTTTAAATGCCGACGACATCAAAAGCAAACGCGCCAATAATTGTTTAAATTTCAAATGAAGAATACTTAGATTCGCTATAGATTTTGTGTTATTTATATCTTTCAACTAGTGAATTTGTGCGTAAACAAAAGAATATTTATTTTTAGTATTTTTTGCCACTACTTAGATAATAATAAGTGTATTAGATAGTAATAAGTGTATAGTCCAAAAAATCGTGACTTATGAAATTTGTAAAATAAGTCGACATTATTTTAAATGAATTTTCCCTATTTCTTCCTGATTAGGTATCTACTTAATAGAGGTAAATCTAAAATCATATTAGAAAAACTAATATACTTAAATGAATGTTTTCAGTTGTTTGTAGTATATTTTCACAGCTTAAGTTACCGTTTAAGTATGCCTTAATAAATTAGTTAACTCTAAATGGCGCGGGGTTTTTCGTTCTTACCATTCATACTATCACCAGTAGGAAAGAATTTCTACAACAATAGCACAGCTATCTTAAACTAACTTACAAAGCCTATATATGTATGTATATATTATAATGTTGGTACATCACCATTAATGTTAATTTAACTTGTCATATCTCTGTTACTTCCTGTTAATTTACTAATATATGATTTAACATCGATTTATGTATCTAATTTTATAAATTGTTTCGTAGGAACACCCACAAATTACAGGCACATTCTTTACGCCTAAGGTCACAATGTTGTGTGGCATCTAAATTGTTATCTGGCAATGGCAATGGTGCACTTGGCAGGCGCATAGACGGTTCCACGAAAAGTTATTTGAATTCGCCCCAATTCTCGACCGAAGAATTGCCCTCTAAATTAATAATAATAATAATAATAATAATAATAAAAGTTTATTAGCAATAAGTTTTGACATTAAATTTACACTAAGCGCAAAATAAAGCTTATTACAAATTATGCTACTTACATCGGTTTGTCACTGCCGACTGTACTAGGCCGAGCCTGTATTACAGACGACAGTTCCTTCCTCTATGATACAAAAGGATTGTCACTAAATTATCATTAAACATTATCACTCATATTTTTAACAAAAAGCCACACAATAATTAAATGACATTACAAGGTCTGTTATACTTTAAACATTGATATTCTACATTATTAATATTTTTTACAAGTACCGCCATAAAAGTTAAATATAGCAGTAGTTAAAGTTAGACCACTAAAAATAATGACTTAAGCCAAATTTTTAATATAGTAGTTTATATATTTTTTTATTTAAGTACCTAGTTTTAAACAATATGATTTTATGTAATAAATTTTTCTGCTTTAATTATTTAGGTATTCATGGGTAATTCATATTATTAAATTGGTTAATTAACATTTAACATATTAACATGATAAGTCATTTGTGTGGTGTGTGTTGAATGTTTAAAATGTGAAAATATGTCTGAAATATGTTTTTTTATATATGTATAATATTATGTATAATTATATATTTTTTTATGTGTGTACTGTGTTGTGTGATAGATACGGGTGTGTAAGTTAATTTATAAGCTTATGAGTCATTTATCATTTATTTAACTATAGCAAATAATTTTTCTGTGTCATCATAAGTTAGGTTTTTTAACCACTTTACTATGATATTTTTACATTGGTAAGTGTTAAGCGGGTATATATTAAGAATTTTATTCAATTTATTATAAAGAGTGGGACCTAAATAACAGTTGTAATTATGGATGAAAAATGTTCTGTAGCGGTTTATTTTACATACTTTATGCTTCAATCTATTTATTGTGAGACTATGGTCATATTCAAGTTTCCGATGTTGATCTATTATTGTATTCCTTATGAATAGCTGCCTGACAGAAAGGACATCGCATTCAGAATATAAATCTGTTGTTGGGTAACTAAATGGTTTAGATGTCATGACTTTTAATATCGCTCGTTGAGCTCTTTCTAGTTTTAACAGATATGTTTTACAAGCTCCACCCCACGATGTGATACAGTATGTTATTACTGACTCAACCAAAGCGCTGTAAACCGTTTTTAGAGTACTAGTATCAGCCACGTAGCGTAGTTTTTTGAATACAAAAATTAACTTTCTTGTTTTTTCAGTTACGTCTTTTATATGTGCATTCCAAGTAAGATTTTCATCTAACAAAACACCGAGATAACGTATAGTTTTAGTTCTATTTAGTGTATTACATTGACAAGAATTCCCATTCCGACAAGAGTGCATTTGAATTTCGAAATTTTGTTCAATAGGTAGTGTCCGCTGAGTGATCGCAAATGGCATATATTTAGTTTTAGAAATATTAAGTGTAAGCATGTTTTGATTGAGCCAATTTCTAATATGCCGAATTCCAAGTTCGGTATTTGTTTTGGCCTCAACCCAAGTTTTTCCATGAAATATTATTGAAGTGTCGTCTGCAAAGGTAAATATTCTACCATTTGTTATTTTTAATTCACAAAGATCATTTATATAGATTAAAAACAACGTGGGACCAAGTACACTCCCTTGTGGAACACCGAATATGACAGGAGCGTCACCACTAAATTTCCCGTCAATTGTCACTTTCTGTGTTCTGTTCAACAAATAACTTTTAAATAAGTCCAGTATTTTTCCTCTAATGCCAATATTTTCCATTTTGTTTAGTAATATCGGGACAGATACTGTGTCAAAAGCTTTTGCCAAATCTAAAAATACGCCTATACACCTTTCTTGTTGATCTAGAAGGTTTGCAACGTAGTTAGTAAGGTCAGAGACGACTTGAGAGGAAGATAGACCTGCTCTAAAGCCGTATTGGTTTTTCGATATAATCGATTTTTTATTTAAATATGCTACAAGCCTTTTATTTAGTATTTTCTCAAAGATTTTTGATAATGCCGGTAATACAGAAATAGGTCGATAGTTATTGACACAGTCTCTGGTCCCCCCCTTATATATGGGATGGATAATGGATTGTTTAAATGCTTGAGGGAAAATGCCAGTTTGGATTGAAAGATTTATGATTTGTGTGATATGTGGGATTACAGTATTGCTTGCCATTTTAAGAAATCTTGTAGAAATGCCATCACATCCAACTGCACTATCTGTTTTTAAATTGAATAGGATAGATTTAACCTCTTGTTCTGTCGTATAATAAATTGCCATTGAGTCTGTTTGAACGTGTGTATTCTGTGTAAAATCGGTATTTGATGTAGTTGTATTTGAAATGCCCTCTGCAAGATCTTTAGCAATAGAAACAAAGTAGTTATTTACTTTTTCTAAAGATTCTTCTGGGGTGATCCCGATTTTTAACAACTGTGTTGGAGTTGTTTTAGGCTTAGATCGATCACTAATTTTATCAATTATTTTCCATTTTAGTCTAGGATTATTGGCGTACTTTGTTAACTCATTCCTGTCATGAATACGCTTCAAACGTTTCAGTAAATCATTGCAGAAATTTTTATAACGTTTATATGTAATAATCAATATTTCATTATTAGGATCCCGTTTGCATTTTAAATGCATTCGGTCTCGATTTTTTATACATCGAAGAAGCCCTGGAGTAATCCATGGTTTTATACAACGCATTTTTTTAGGTGTTATATAACTAAGTGTATTTTTGAGTATTAAATTTTGAAATAATCTAATTAGGTTTTCAGTATAATTATTAACATCTGTTGATATTATGTTGTCAAAATTCATTAATTTAAGTTCATCGAGAATAGCTTTATAATGAATTTTCTGTGAATTTGTGTTTTTCGTTATAATACTATTATGTTTCAATTTAATGCATGTTAGAACAGGGTAATGATCGGTAAGACTTGTTTCTATGACGATAGTGAGTGAAGGATGCTTGGCTTTGATCATTGAATGATCTAAACAAGTTCTATCTCTAGTTGGATAAACATGACCAGGTAGGAGCCCATGTGTTGCTAATAAATTTAGATATTGATCTGAATTTTTATCTAT